TTCCTAGTCCTCTCTTCCCCAGTCATATTAGTTCTGAAGCTTCCATAACACGATTATCAAAGCATCTTCTCCGTGTGCTGAGAGAGACAAAAAGAAAGAAAGCACTTTCCCCTTCTACCTTGACTATTCTATTCTCTCTCCTTTCTGTTTCTAATAGTCTTTTGACTCTTTTCAATTGCCAAAAGGGATGAGAATATGAGATGATACATACAATTCTATGTGCATAACATAACCTCGAGATATACAACATAAGAAAGGGACCGTAAACAAGAATGGAAAATCACCATGGTTCATGTCAAAAAGTAGCTTTTGGCGGGATACAAACAAAGAGACACAGACAAAAGCAAAATGACTTTTGGGTGTGTAGTAACTATTAAGCTCGCCCTTGTAATTTAATACTGCATGGCAATATAAGATAACGCACAGTACTCACAGGCACCACATTCAATTCTCCCCCGACACTCATTCAATGCCGTTTCTTGATTAGCAAAGCAGGTTATGGATCAGATCACAACTACCTTGTTTCTCTTTTTAACCAATAAATCACATCAAGACCCCACCCAAAATGGACGTAAACACCTCCTCTTAGTTCTATCATGTCACTTTCTCATAATTCTGTTTCCTCACTCACACCACTCCATCCATTAAACAAATTGTTGTGCCCCATTGAACAAAAGAGGTAACAAATCAACTTTTTGGCCTATGCCCAGTGGAGCTTAAACACACAGTACTAACATGAAAATAGTTATAACATTTCAATACGAGCCTGTTTCTGTGCCCACATATCAAAAAACAATTTAAGGAAGCTAGAGCTATCCCTAGTGGCATAGAAGCCTTTCAGTAATTCATTTACAATATAAAATAAAAAGGAAACCAAAAAACAAAAAGTAAAAGGGGGTGGGGAAATTCAACTGAGAAAGGTAGTAATTTTAGAAGAAAATGAATATATTTCTTCCAAAAATCATGTCTTGCAGAACTAAGCCGATGATTCTACCTGTTGTGCAATGGATTTGGACCTGTAGGAACGACTCTTTTGTCATCTGATGATGATGAGGTGGTGTTGTTCTCGTAGCAAGACAAGTGTCTCTTGGGGTTGCATTTGTGGAGTGCCACACTTTTGTTCTTCTTTGCTCCATCAAACAAATTGCTAACAAGGGCGGTGTTCCTTGCCACTGTGTTTGACACAATACAAGCCCAGAACAAAAGGCACAGCACAAGTATCAGCTCTGTTAATCTCATCTCACCAAGCTAAGTTTAATTCAAAGATAGAAAGAGTGCAGAAACTTCTGACTCAGAAAAAGGGCAAAGAAAGAGATGAAGACCCACAACAGATTAGAAAAGCGACAAGAGAAAGAGACACAGAGAGAGAGAGAGGAGAGTGAGGGTGAAGAGAGAAAGGCAGAGCAAAAGGAATTGGTGCGGATATTATTAGAGAATAAGAGAGGGAAAGAGACGACTATAAGAGTGGGTTATAGGAATGGGACATTAACTATGGTACCTCGGATATGCAGTAAAAAAGACTTCGAATTTGATACATCACATCTCTCTGGTCAGAAATTTCACCAAACCTCATTAATTGACTTCAATTCTGTTGACAATAATATATAGTTATATTTACATTTATTCAAATCAAACGGTATTTGAAAATAAATGGTGTGTAAGTTACAGAGCCCAAAGGCACCACTCCTATACATTCTGTTGCTTAGACAGTTGGACTTGGCAACCTAGCTAATAAAAGTTCTCTAATGGGATTAGAGGAGAAATTCTTCCTCAATGGAACTTCAGCACGTGCTGCTCCACTTGAGGACCATACTTGAAAAGCTGACACTCGTTGTTGAGAAAAAAAAGGAGTTGCAGGAAAATTAAATGGGTGGTTTTGACTGTAGCATGCATTGAATCAATGTTTGCTTGCTTTTGAAGCACGTCTTCTTGGGTGTGAGTTTTGATTGAATGAACGATGGAAGTGACAAGGGGTTTGTGTTATAACGTAACAGAGACAAACCTGGGAATGACAGTTGATGCTTCATTAAAGCCGGCCATTTCTGTTATAAGTTAAAACAGCAAGGTTAGTTGCCTATCTTCGTATATTGTCCAACGCTTCACAACCTCTTCCCACTTCCAAAAGTTACACACGAAAAGGTTCAAAGGTCAGCCGTAACCGATCTGACCCACAATCAGTGACGGTGATAGAATAGTCGTGTATAAGGAAAATGGAGTCGATTTTTATTACTACTGAGCAGTGGTATTATTTTTTTTTCTTTTTTTTGCATATTGTAATAACCAACTAATGTTACTATCCATCGTTAGATTGATTATATTCATTCAACGATTATATTTATTTTTATTTTTATATGATCATGATTCCTCATATTTAATATGAAAGAATTAAATATAAAAAATCATAACCATATAAATGTGAAAATAAATATAAAATATTAAATACGGAGAATCATAACCATACAAAAATAAAAATAAATATAACCGTTGGATCAACATAATCGACCTAACGATGAAATTTATTAGTTGTAACATTAATTGGTTGTTACAATATCCTTCCTCATTATTTTTAGGCTAAAATATAAGTTATCTCCTTAAACTTTTAAGAATTTCTCTGTAGCAAAAAGTGAGATTCATAAATAAGAGAAGAGAAAAAAAAGTACAAGTGATATCCAAATGTATTTTGCATATGCAGAAACTTCGATTATTTTTATATAAAATAAAAAATGTATAGCGCTAAAATAATAGATTTAAAATTTATAATATTGAAGATGAATTTATTTCTTATACATATGTAATAAACGAAAATTAAAACTGACCAAATACCTGGGGTCTCGCTCCGTACCATACGCCAACCAACTACCTAATTAATAAGAATCGAATATGATATTGATAAAAAAGTAGGTGAGAGCTAAACTACCGAGACTTTCTAATCGCGAAATACTCCATTGATTAGTCTCACAATAATACCGATAGGATAACCTAATCAAAGATTAAAAATAATAAAAATAAATGTTTATTTATCTTTTTTATTATAATCATTATTCGTAATCAATAATCAGTAATAAAAGAATACAGAATTCATAGAATCGGTGAAAGGGCCTTAAAAAAAATGTAAAAGCACTGTACATAAGTTATTTAAAGAAAAAAAATGATAAGTAAGAAGCTACGTCGCTACCATTACACTTTGTCATTATTAAATGCTACTATTGTCATTCTTATACATTTATTGCTTAAAAGGACAGAATCAATTACGATTTCGATTTTAATTAAAGTTAATACTCTTTATATTTGAAAATGTAAATTATTTAAGAAAATAAATTTCATTTCACTTTTACAAGATACTCATCCAATCGAAAGTGTGGAGAGCTTCGGGTCTTACTTAGTGAAGCTATTTATTTTGAAATGCCAAAATGACCAGCACTTGTTTACCGAAAAAAAAAAAAAATTGTTATAAAAAAAAAAAAAAAAAAAATGACCAGCACTTCATTTTTATTTATTATTTTCTAAACTTCATTGTTGTATTTTGATATCTACGCTAAATATAATGATAAAAGATATTAATAAAATAAGAAGATAATTTGGATATATATAATTATATTATCTAAAATTAAGGATATTTAACAACTTTTTTAATCTCTATTTAAAAATATCGAACGAATAACATTTTAAAATGGATGTATTATCAATTAAAAAAATTGTAAATAATATAAAAGTTAAAGAAATATGCAATAAAATTTTGCTTTTAAATTGCATAACCATTATCATTCATCAACTCACTAAGTTTACACAATGATATCCTACTGCTACGAAAAAATTTCCTTTCTTATCTTTCTTGCAAAGCGTGTATATATTTTTTTGAGAATGTATATTTCCACTTATTTTGTTTATTCAAAGTTTTAAGGTTTGACTTTAAAATGCTTTTCTTGACTCTCTTTTTTCCTTTCCAAATCCATCTCTTCGTACGCTTTTGTTTTGTTTATTACATGAGCATGTAAATATTCTCACAAAAGTATAACATTTGTTTGTTTTTAAATTCATTTTTTACTTGAAAACAGCTTTTAAAGAGTACAAGCAACTCCAATCTAAGCTTGGGACTGCCTGAAATAGAAAAAAAAAAAAAATTAAGCATTGAACTGGGTTAGCTTATTGTGGTCGTAAATGTCTCCAAGCGCCCCGAAAAGATTGGGTCCGTTGAATGGGGTGAGCTAGAGCTTACTTGGGCCAAGAACAAAGTCCATAATCAACTTCGTACACTGAATAACTGCCATGAATGACACAAAGTCCATAACTATTATCCTACCATATAAAAATAATATTATTGGTCATTATTTGGTTATATATATTTTCACTTAGGTAATGTATTAAGAATGTACAGTTTTATATATAATTAAATAAACTCTTAAAACTTCGAATAAACACGTGAGAAATTTATTTTTTCTGAATGTACTGACTACTCATATGAGAAACATTTTTAAAATTGTGAAAGAAAAAAAGAAAACAATTTCGATTAATGTAGAATTGAATCTAAGAATATTTTTATTAAATTAAAGCATTAAAGCAATAAGCTATTAAGAATGTGACATTACCTAAAGAAATTGCAAGTTGCAACAAAGCTCTATTTTATGGAAAACATTTTGTGTATTGGTAGGGAGGAAATGCGTTGGATCATGTCATGACAAACCAAATAAGGTCTTTAAATAAAACAGAACATATCTGAGACCAAGTTTTAAATAAGTTAAGTGGGAGACTCTATAGGACGCGTGGCTTATTCCAGCAGCTGTACCAAATACGTGAAGATTAATAATTAGAATAAGTTTTTATATTAGGTTAATTAATTAAGTAATGTTTGTATTGTATATTGGGTTAAACAATTCCATATCAATCTTCTTCAATCATTCTCTTCCCGGAGAAAGAAAGAATAAACGCATGTTTCAATATTTGAGCAGCAAAGAATAATAAAAGGGTGATCCAAACCCATTCATTCACCTGTGTCACAGAACATGCTTTACCACAAGAACCGTTACACAGTCACCTCCCTCTTCTTCCTCGCATTGTTCCTTCTCTCTTTCTTCTTCTTCTTCTTCTTCACCAGAATAACTCTTCGCCCTGCTCCTTCCCTTCACACAGATCTCTCCCTCCAATTCCAACCTTCTCCTCTCTCATCCCCGTCACCACAACAGCTACACTCTTCCACTGACACCCAAACCCAACCACCCCACACCGCCATTACCACCGACGATGGCTCCGACCATGAATCTGGTAGTAACGAGACGGTAGATAATGGTGGTGGTGATGCAGCATGGAAGGAGTGTGATTTGTACACGGGAACATGGGTGGAAGATGAAAATTACCCAATTTATAAACCGGGTTCTTGCCCTTACGTGGACGAGGCTTATGATTGCCAAATCAACGGAAGAACCGATACCCACTACACAAAATGGCGATGGAAGCCTCATGCCTGTGACCTTCCCAGGTATGTGTCTCTCTCTCTCTTAATCAAAATTCATGCTAGATTGGGAAAGTGCTTCAATGTGTAGCCATGTTTATGGTTGATTCATTATAAGTAAAAATGTCTTCATTTGTTGAACATTACATTATATTATATTGCTAAACAGGATTGAATTAAATTTGGTTTAATTTTGGGCCACATGTTACTTGATACAGACACTAGCTGCTACTTTATTTCGTGTGAATATTTGGGTTTGGGGTCAATTTCTCCTGGCAATGCTGCTTTTCTATTCAGTTACTAATTTTTCTTGTTTGATTATTAATGTTCTTATTCATATTTGCTCGCTATGTGAGAAATTTTCCCATATTAGGACTGCGCATATTTTAAGAAATTTTACAGAGAGTTTGAGTAACTTGCTTCTGTTCACATCAACTTGATGTGGATGTTCGCGTGCAAAAACTATATGGTGAAAAAGAAAAATATAAATGAATGTCATCTTTCCCCATGGGCACCGGCTTGAGTTAAACAATTTTTGCAGATCAAAACATCTTATTGAGCATATCATTGCTTTTGAGATATATAAAACCATTAATGTAGCCTCACCCAACAGCTTAAGCTTTTGGGTTGAATTGGTTCTTTACATGGTATCAGAGCCTCGTTGTACCGGGTTCGATCCTCGCCGCCCCCCACTTTCTTTCAAGTGGAATTTCTTTGTTCGCACAGGTAGGTGGGCCTGTGCATTGTCCACCCTTCAAGCCCAGTGGGCTCTCGTGTGAGGGGGCGTGTTGAGATATATAAAATCATTGATGTAGCCTCACCCAACAGCTTAAGCTTTTGGGTTGAATTGGTTCTTTACAATTGCGAAGCCTATAATTGTTAGTGCATCAGACATGGCTGGTAAAATAAAGGTGAAAATAAATGGAAACTTTTTGTGCTGCAGATTTCCTAGGTGATTGAAGAAAAATGAATTTTCCGTATCATGACTTATGTTTCTAAGCTAATTTGGATTGAAGGGCTGTAGGAATGGTACCAGTGCCCATAAAATTTGAAAAATAGTTCACCTAATTTGTTGTTTTCCAGTAACAACATGCCTTCTGGTAGCAATATTTCAGGCAATGATCCATTTTGTTTATGGAAATGTTTCTGATACGACATGTGAAGGTGTATCGTAGGAGGCGTCACAGGGGATTATTTAACCATGAGAATATTCTGGATGATGGTGCATGTAATTAATTGAGTATCTGTAATTCTGTTATGGGCAAATTCTGTTATGCTGATGCTGAGGTGGCTAAGTTGGTTAGGATGATGGGTTATATGGGGCGTTGGGCAAGTGAAGGAGGGGAGCTGCGAATTGGAATTGGAACTTGGACTTTGAGAGCTCAACATCTCTCTTATCTGCTGATCTTTAGCTTTTTCCTTCTGTAAACAGCATTGCTGTGTCGTAGTTATTTTTCTGCAAATTTCCATTACTGCAACCTTTTGTTTCTTCAATATAAAGAAAATCCAGATGTTTATCTGGGCCAAAAGCTACTTGAGTTCTTTTATTTCCTTGTTATCTGATCCAGTCTTATCAACTGATATCAGATAATCCCCTGCGACGCCTCCTACGATACACCTTCACATGTTGTATCTGTTTCCTATGTTGCAGGATTTTTAGAAAGGTCCAAACATATCTTCTGTTGGTGTGGTATTGAAATTCAAATTGACATATAAAGAAACCTATCCTATTCTTTCCTAGTCTAAATGTAAATTAACCATTGCATTATGATTCTTTGACTGTTTGTGTCATTTGCTAAAATGCAATTGGATATTTTTCTTCTTTTGACCATCTCAATGTATATACTTGAGCTGTTGAGCATATTCGTAGAACTATAAATCTTCACGCATACTTAGAGCATCTCAAATTCCATTGAAGTTGGGAGTGGCATGCTTTATTGTTTATAATTCCCACATTCATTTTAAAAAGTATTATTTGCTGGTCATTCAAGGAGTTGTGTTCTTTCTTTGGTTGAAGAGAAGTGGAAAGGAGAAATCCTACTGAGTATGGTGCAGGGAAGCTGGAACTGGTTACTTTTAGCTTCTTCTCGTGGTTCTCCTTGCGATATAGTTGAACACTGGTGACCTGCTGTTACTATCAGTTGGATCTTACGACCTTCATTTTGCTATATTTCACCGTTTTTTGTCTCCAAATGTTCTACTTTTGATTTTCTGTTGACAGAAGGCATCTCCTTCTCTCTACCATGATATAACAGCTAATTGCATATAGTTGCTAAAGTGTTTTCCAGACAGCTATCGTTTGCTTCTCATCTTGTACTAGTTTACTGGAACATTAACTCTTCCTATCTTCTTCTTCATTCACTTGTTTTACAACATTCTACTTGTAGGTTTAGTGCCACAGACTTCTTGGTAAGACTGAAAGGTAAAAGACTAATGCTGGTTGGAGATTCTATGAACCGAAACCAATTTGAGTCCATTCTGTGTATACTACGTGAAGGTCTACAGAATAAGAGCAAAATGTATGAGATACATGGCCACAAAATAACAAAAGGAAGAGGCTACTACTTTTTTAAATTTGAGGTAAAATTTTCTCTTTCCTTGCATATTTAATTCTTCCAACTTATAACAACTAATTTCATGACCTGCTTTATATAATTATTTTATTTTAGAAAAAACTATTTTTAAATCATCTATTCATTTTGTTTGTAAATTTTTCTCTTCAAGGTCTGATTGGCTGGAATAAAATTGTTGGCAAATATAAATCAAGCTGGTGCTATAGTTTCTCGTCCTCTCCCAGAAAATTAATTTATCTTTCTTAGAAGTCAGAACTTATAGTACATACCAAACATTTCTGTTGTTTTTGCACTCATAACCACTTATAAAATACTGTATTTGGATAATTATGTTAAATATAAAAATACTTACAAAGTGATCAGGCCAGCTGGACTGCATCATTTTCCTTTTAAAGTTTGGATGGAAAAGACTGCAGTTCACTATGCTAAGATTTTGGAACACTTGGGCAGGACTATGATTGTTCAGTGGAATTTGTGAGATCTCATTTCCTTGTGAAGGAAGGGGTTCGTATTAATGGAAAAGGTAGCTCAAATCCTACATTATCAATAGATCGAATTGACAAGACATCTGGCCGTTGGAAGAGAGCTGACATTCTTGTCTTTAACACTGGGCACTGGTGGGCTCATGGAAAAACTGCTAGAGGGTCAGGATGCAATTATTTTGTATTTTGATTGATCTATTCATTGAGATTTTATACATTCAATTTTGGAAACTGGCTGTGTGTGTTTGTTTGCTTCCCCCATGTTTATTGATCTATGCTTTGAAATTGTATTTTGAAAGGATTCATGCAAGGGTTTGCTGCATAAGAATGGTAACCTATTTTTATAACTTATCTAGGAATGTTGGTATATACTATACTATCAATTTCATGTATTAGGAAAAATTGTACATTTTTATCTAACTTATTTATCTCGTCACTTTTTTGTTTTTCCTTTTTTATTAAATTATATGAGTTGGTTTGTCTTTCTTTACTTTAAATTAACATGTCATCTATTTAAAATAAATAACGTGAACCATATTCATAATTTTTTTCTTTTTTAAAAGAAAAAACACTATCTAGCAAAAAAGTGAGTGTCTGATTTGTGCAGGATAAATTATTATAAAGAAGGTGATTATCTATATCCAAAATTTGATGCAGTTGAGGCATACAGAAAGGCTATAAAGACCTGGGCAAAATGGATTGATGATAATATCAATCCACGAAAACAGATTGTCTATTATCGCGGATATTCTTCTGCCCATTTCAGGTATGGATTTTTTTTTATTTTCTCTGTAACATAAAATCCTTGTCCCCTTCCCTCTCCAATTTATTTGTACTGGGGGTTATATAAAAAAAATCAAGAACCTATTTTTTCAACGTCATAATGGAGGAAAAAGAAACTAATTGTACACCACAACAAATTGCTCTTCCAACCATATCATATTGCTAATGAATCTTTGACAGAGGTGGAGACTGGGACTCAGGCGGGTCATGCAATGGTGAAACTAAACCAGCTTTTAATGGGTCCATCCTGAATAACTATCCTTTGAAAATGAAGATAGTGGAGGAAGTGATCCAGGGAATGAAGGTTCCTGTAAAGTTATTGAATGTTACAATGCTGACTAATTTCCGCAAGGATGGTCACCCATCTGTCTATGGAAAGAATACTATGAATGGAAAGAAAATCTCCACAAGAAAGCAGGACTGCAGCCATTGGTGTCTTCCTGGGGTCCCTGATGCATGGAATGAGCTCATTTATGCCACTCTGGTTTTTCAACAAACCAATTCTAGGAGCTAACTTATGTGACCCTTCTTTCAAGGAGTTTACTTTTTGTGCAGGAAAGACGGGAAAAAAAGAAAAGAGAGAACCTTTTGGCTTACATCAAGAGTGCCATTGAGAATTAATGAAAAGTGTACTTTATTACACATAATCAAGTCAAGATGAAATATTAGTAATGTTATTTGTACAATGTTAAATCTTAACAGTATTATCATCACATTAATTTCTTGGTGTTAAGAACCTTGAGGTCACCACTCCAAAAGCTAGCTCAAGGGGTGGGAGTGCCCAAGGCCTTATAAAGGCCATATTAGTTGTCCATCCAATCAATGTAGGACTATATATCTCAACATTGGCACTAATGAAAAGTGTAATTTATTACACATAATCAAGTCAATATAACAAAAAGTAGTTATTTGTACATTGATAACTCCATATTATGTTTTATTTTTACTTATTTATATCAATTATCAATATATATTAAATCAATGGCAAAAGTAAGTTAAAATGAGGTGAGAATTTAGAAAAGTTCAATTGTTTACCCGTATATGTTTGTTATGAAGAGACTAAAACAAACTACTAGCACCAGATATTGTATTTCATTTTTAGAAACACTTGGCCACAATCATGATACAAAATGAGAAAATAAATTATTCAAACAGAATCCAAGGGCAATACTGTATTTTATCCTACCATTTCTTTTCTCATATTTGGTTATACAATGGCTGTGTCAGAGTGAGTGTGTGTTTTTTTTTTTAAAAAAAAAAGAAATAAAGTCAGTTCAGTACCAAAAGATTTGGACAGTCTCAGGAGTTTCAAGCGGTTGCACTCTAAGTTGGCTATGTTTTCAGTCCATGTCATGCCAAAATATTGCTTTAACCTCTTACTGGCTTGATTGGTTAGGGTTGATATTTTTCCGAACGGAAATATTTAATATATTTTCAGTCCACCACTTATTCAGTGCTCCAGATCAATTAAAATCAAATATTTTTTGTGATATAAGAAGGAGAATTTTTTTTTGTTTTTTTCTTCACGTATTAACCCGCCAATAGGAGGAGTACCTTCACCGGTGCATAAAAAATGCGCTCCCTGATACCCTCATGTGTATGGTATTCCATGAATGCCTTACACATAGACGTCATTGTTAGTTGAGATATATATATATAGGTTTTCACATATTCATTATTTCTAGGATAAAAATAAAATAAAACTAAACTACTGGTTCATGAATTTTTTTAAAGTAATTAACATTTTATCTCAATTAAAGAAACAATCAGTAAATATACGTTAACTATAAATATCAATTCAAATGTAAATAGAAAGAATATTAACGTAAAACACTTTAAATTTTATATAAAAATTATAATTTTTTATATATTTTATTAAAGGGGAAGGATATTGTGACAACCAAGTTGTGTTACTACCAAGTGACTATCAATTAATCTCACCGTTAGATCGATTATGTTGATCCAACGGTTATATTTATTTTCATCTTTGTATGATCATGATTCCCCATATTTAAAGTGAAAACATTAAATATGAGAAATCATAACCATACAAAGGTGAAAATAAATATAAAGTATTAAATTTGGGGAATCATGACCATACAAAGATGAAAATAAATATAACCGTTGGATCAATATAATCGATCTAATGGTAAGATTGATTGGTAGTCACTTGGTAGCAACACAACTTGGTCGTCACAATATCCTTCTCCTTTATTAAAAATATAATTAATAAAAAAACCTATATAAAATATTTTTTATTTTAAATCACTTAATGATATTAAATTAATAGTTAATCAAAGATAGAAAGAAAAAAAAAATGATGCCCACTTTATGATCAAATTTGACGTTTAGTGTTAATTTAACAAATATGAAGGTATCCCCCCTCTAAAAAAGTGAATGGAAATCACTAAGAATAGGAGATAAATGTATAAAAATTACTTAGTAGGTTTCGTTCACTTTTTTGAATATGTATGAAACAATTTTATTCATATAATATGATAAATATATATTCCTAGTATGAAGATAATAAAATGTAATCTATCCAATAAAATAGGGGAGGGATCATTTGACTCTAGAGTAAGACTTACAAGTCTTACTCCTCATCTCAATCATTGATTTCCGTTCATCTAACGGGTATTATTTATTAAAAATTAATAATTAATTAATTGGTATAGATAACCGTTAGATGGACGGAAATCAACGGTTGAGATGAGGAGTAAAACTTGTAAGTCTTACTCTGGAGTCAAAATATCCCTCCCCCAATAAAATATCATTATATATATAACACGTAATTTTGAAAACTGGCGTAGAATGAGACTTCAGAACTGCGTAATTGGCATTGCAACGGGGACAAGACAAGGGAGCCAATTTTGAGTGGGGCCATGCTGAAATCTCAATTAGGATTCTATTGAGTGTTAGATAGTTTGATTCATTGTTTTCGCATAGTTGACCAACATTCTCAGTGCAGTGGTCACTCTCAGCCTGCGTCTGTGGAATTGGAATGAACGCAGAATTTGGGGGGTAGCCCCTTCTCTGTATGGTGTTATTAATTATATAATATATACAAAACAATACCGAGTCAAATTCAAAGAGTTAAATTAAGTTTTGACCAGCGGAACTATTCAAGACAAGAAAATCTTCCACGCGATTGTACGAGTATTAATGTTCACATTTTCAGCGAAGAAATTAATGTATGGGGGTGTTTCACAATTCACACCACTGTGTAAATTGTAATGCATGGTAGCACAAGCAAAAGCTTGATGTTGTTGTTGGTATTATTCAATTGCAATTCAATGGAGTTGGTGACACCAAATGATTGGTGACCAAAGACTCCTGTCACCTGATCTCTTTATTTGTGTGGGCTGTCCTTTCATAGCGTATAACAAAAGTATTATGCATGAAAAGTAAAAAGAAGAAAAAGGTGTATTATAACATTTATTTGTGTAGACTTGGAAATGAAAATTGTTGATTGATATAATGATTTTCTTAAGAAAATTAGAATCGTGAACCAAAGTCAAACTTTTGTGTAATGAAAAGAAGAATTAAATAGCGGGGGAGGACATTGCTTAAATCCCAAGATATATGAATCTCAAAATCTTGCACAATGGGAAATTAAACGGGGTCCCACACATAATCATATTGGAAAGAATTCTTATGATGCAAAGAGAAGCCTCGACCCTCCAATTTTCGGTGTAGAAGACGTTTCATGTAGACACGGACATGGACAGACTCACAGACAGAACTGACTATAGGATTCTCATCCGAAATTTCTATAACACTGTTGTCTTACCCACTTTTTTATACATTTCTCCAATAAAAATCAAACACCAATGTTGATTAAAAGAGAAAAATATTGTGTTATAAACACAGGTATTTGATTGTGAGTCCAAGAGCACATACAACAGAAGCATGAAAAATGCGCTTATTTTGACCAAAATTTCCTTGGTATTTTATACCATAAAATATATATTAGGGATAGAATGTTGTGCCTTTTTTTTCTTACTTATTCTACCTATTAATTTTTATTATATCAAAATCTCAATTAACATTCGACATTTCTCTCTTCTCTTAAGATTTTGATCTAACAATATTGAAAAAGAATAGGTAGATTAGACATAAAAAAAATGTATGCATAATATCCTATTTTTAAATATTAATTATCAAAATAAATTCTTAATTAAAATTACTGGATAATAATAATTAATTATTATTTGTAAATCCCCTCAAAAAAATTATTATTTGTAAAAAGATTATTAAAATTACATTAATATATATATATATATTAAAAGTATACTAATTTTAATTGATATTTAATTTTTTAAGATATTTATATAAAATAATTCGTACATGTTTTGGAAAAAATATTTACTAATCAATTCTTATGATATTGTGGGAAAAAAACATAAATTAAAATTTGTCTAACTAATGTGTTTTTTTTCTTCAGATAACAGTTACAAAGAATTTTCAGGATCGGAAAAGTTTAGATTGTATTTTTTTAAATAAGAATAAAAGATAAAGGAATTAGGGAAGAAGAAATTAAGGTGAACATTTATGAGCAATCACATATGAGCTTACATGTAAAATGCATTGAGAATTTTTTACCCTTTAACACTTTTTTTTATATATACAATGATGACACTAATATTTGAACCTATAATTTCATATAAACTATCCAAAACCCTAACCATTAGAGCAATTCTAATGTCTTCCTTAACACCTTAATTTAAAACACAGATAATAACAATCATTTTTTAATAAGTTGTTAAACACAAAATAAAGAGTTTGGCTTAATTCCATCACATATTAAACACTATATCAAATGAGTAATTTATTTTCAAGCACGCTCAGTCAGATTTTTTTTTTTTTTGTGTGTGTGTGGGTAATTCGCAATTCAACAGCCAAAAAGTCATCCTCATGACACAAAGATACATGACGGCCCTCCAATTTTAGGTATAGAAGTGTAGGAAAGATGTATGCGGAACCAAATCGAACATGTGAATTAGTTCTGTTATTGAACTATCATTGTCCAAATTAACTACGTATAAAGCTCATCTAAGATATGTAATTAGTCTTCCAATTATTCTTAAGGTGGTGGAAATAGTATGTGGGACACTTATATTCTCTTGTGTTACATTAATTCTCTTTTGTACTCTTCTTATTTTAGTTAAGTTCTATTAAGCACTTTCTAATGTGAGGCTGTAAAGGATCACACACACACACACACACACACAGATATATATATATATATATATATATATATATATATTTTACATTTTTCTGTGCTGTAGGGATTAGTTCCATATGTATGGCTATCTATCTTATTTTACGGGCATGCTTTGTAATATAATTCTTGTTCAACGTTTTGGTCAAGCTATCTCCCGAAAATTCATTAGCATATTGGTCAATAAAAAATTCTTAAGAGTTTATAAAATAAGTTTCTTTCGTACTTTATATCATTAATATCTATATCACTTAATCATAATATATAAAATTTAATTAATTGAAAATTTACGTACTGATCAGTCCAAGAGAAAATGGGATGGATCACACACGTTGATATTTTTGTTTTGTTTTATATATATATATATATATCAACCATGCATAATTACTTTTTAAGATTAGTCTTTTTAGATTTACAAAGATGCTGACTAGCTCGCTGATAGTCAAATATCTAATTAAACTGTAGCTAAGTAAAAAAGGCAGTTAAGTTCTCATTCATAAATAATAATTATTCAGTTACTCTATAATTTAATTCTCTTGTTGTAACAATAATTAATATCAAATGAGCAATAACATAACAAATAATAAAAATATCATTTTCAAGTCAAACTGAAATCATAATGTTATCCATTTATTGTACTAACTACATTAATTAATGGGATCACGACTTCCTAACGCTTGCACATCTTTTGGGATAAAGGTGGCATAATATTTACTTGTTGGCCGTTGAAACTTAGTATGCCTTTGCATACTCTCTTTGTTTCAAAATAATAATCACTTCAGTTTTAGTTTGTTTTAAATGGTTCATTTTACGAAACTTATATTAATTATTTTATTCTTATCCCTTGGTATCTTCGCTAGATGAATTGAGAGAGCGTTAATGGAATGAAAAGGATAATTTAGTCAAATATTCTTATATTTTTCTAAAATAAAAAGTATTTAATGATTTTCTTAATTCTTATGAAAATTTTAAGAGTCTATTTGATTTGCAAAAAATAATGACAGCATAACACACTCACACAAAAAAAAACCATATCTTATTTGATTTTTAAAATAGTGTAAGTACAAAACTCTGAATGTTTCTCTAGATTACAAAATTGTGTTTATAGTCTGGAAAGAGACAAATAGCAATAATTCCTACCATTTTATTTTTTCCAGCTCTATTGTGTAATGTAATAAATAATGTATGACACAAAAGATATTACAATAAATATTTTGTTATTTTATATAGTACTTATATGTATTAAATAACGAAGCTATAGCAACAACAAAAAAAAAAACCTATATCGTGAATAAGCTACATGTACTGTACTACTTTATTTATATTATCCCACGTTATGCATTAAACGCACCCAAAGTGAAAATTATTTTAAAATATAGGGAGTAATAAACAATAAGCATATAGTATCCATAGAATTCAGGGTGTTTTTTTTTTTTTTTTTTTTTCTATTAATCTGTCGCCCCTTTAGAACGTGATTCATGCAATGGATTGATAGTGTGTTTGGGGCAGCAGGACCTTTCCATATCCACATTGGGTAGCCCCCTCCCCCCTTAAAACACGCTGTAAAGTTTCTCTATTTACCATTTTGAACCACGTATTGGGTATGATGTCTCCATACACTTTCTCTTAGTAACCATTTTTTTAGACTAGAAATATTTGCACTTGCTTGGATGCTGTTAAGATTTTGTCATACTCTTATGAATGACTATTCAAATCCCATGCATTTTCTCTTATTAATGGGCGGTGCTACTATTGTGACTTGCAACCTTATTTTGTGGGTTGGTTCAATGACCAAATTAAAGCACACCAAGAAATACACTGACTCAGAGAGAGAATTGGTGTTGCGCCTGTAATTGTTAATAACGATCATCTTTCTTTCTTTTTTTTATTGAACCGTTTTTTTAAACGCATGGGAATTTTGCTTATTGCTTGATTAAAAATAGTTATATTTTTAAAAACCTTGAAGACAAATATACCACAAGATATTATATAGGGGTAGGATCATTTGACACCGGTGTCAAATTTTAAGTTTGACACCTCATCTGAGAGCCGTTAGATCAAAAAATATCAACGTTGATATTTTTTGATCTAACTGCTCTCAGATGAGGTGTCAAACTTAAAATTTGACACCGGTGTCAAATGATCCTACCCCATTATATAGAAGTACAAACTAAATCGTCAACAAGAATATTATAGCGAACCATATTAAGAACTTAAATGTTTTCATAAAGAATGATCTTATCCCTCATTCCTCAATTCTAATGAAGAGAGAGGAAAACAAAAAAAACTCTTAAAAATTATGGATTTGAAGCATACCCATCACTCACATCATGGATGACAAATATGGAACAAAATCTTATATAGCTCAGATTCAATATTCCAAGTTTCCAACCTTACTTAGTGGACTGACTTAGGGAATTGTTTTCTCTTTGAGTTTCAACCATTCAAACACTTAATATTCCTTATCTGTACTGAATTGCTAATTAGCTTCATTTGCAGGGCAAAAGCACAAAAACTTTAAATAAAATGGTGAGTTAATTTTGATTAATTAGTAAATTGAATCAATAACAGAGGCACGTAATTAACTACGTATTTTGATGTGAGGACTGTGGGATATGTGCTTTCTTTTCTTCTAATTAATAAGCTAGTTTTGTGTTACAGAGATACGTAGCAATTGGTGTTTTATACTGAAATCTAATATCCTTATTATCAATTCCGACCCTCTAATTAACTCTATGCTGCTCTGTAATTTGTGGCTGTTGTTTCGGATAACATCTGAGATGCCAACATTGTTCTTTCCTTAATTGAGCTTCTTTAGTTTCTCGCATGAAGAACATATAGTCATAGTTGCCGTTTTGGAAAGTTGAATGTATAAGGGCGATGTTCCAACTTTAAGTGCACGTAGTTCCTGCAATTCCTTCTTCAACCCTCTGTTCTCATCGCTTAGATTTTTACAGTGTTTTTTCAACAACTCGCAATCCACCTCTGTTTGCTTCAGCTTGGTCCTGAAAATAAAATATATTTAACATTTCTGAACTCAATTACATACCCCAGATCAATATAGTCAACACAATCAACAAATAAATAAATAAATAAAACCGTAAGAGTTATGTTTTCTTTCTTATCTCACCCTTCTAGATTGAGTTAGGAAAAGAACTCAGATAATGTAAATTGATGAAGAATAAACAAAGGTAGCAATAAGATCTTAATAAAATGAAAAACTTTGCAACAATCCCACATCGTACCTTGCTCTTCTGTTTTGAAACCAAACTTCAATTTGTCGAGTCTTTAAATTCAATTGGTTAGCAAGTGTTTGTTTCTGGGTCTGCACGTGAAACCAAAACAAACGCATAAACTCCTTTTACCATATGGTAGAAAACTAAAGATCGTGATTGATAAATAAGCATAATACGAATGATATAGGCAAGCAACTATATAAAATTAATTTATTAAGAATATAGTTCTAGAATATCAAAATAAAAAAAGAAAGAAAGAAAGAAAAGTTATAGAAAAATATATAAAATGAGAAAAGGGATAGAAGGCTTCGCATGAATGAATACTTGATTAAGAGTGCTATGGAACTTGAAGCTGTTTTCAAGCATGGCTGATTGTTCCTTTGTAAGCCTCAGTTTCTTTCTGCAACCGTTAATATTGTTGGTGTTATCAGAATCAGTGCTGTTTGCATTGAGGTAGTGGTGTCCCTCATGGATTCTCTCCAAATTGAATCTGTCTTCCTCGTTATTATTCACGTTCATGGCTTCCCTTTTTGGACAAAGCTCAAACGCTAGGGGAGCCATAGGCTTATTCACTTTCTGCTTCTCCTTTTTTGGCACATGCCCTCCCATTCCCAGTCCAAGACATAGCCCCGTTATGCATTCATCATCATGTTCCATGGCAGAGAAAGAGAGAAAGAGAGAAAGAGAGAAAATGGTAGAAAGAAGGGATCAAAGTTTTATGTATATAGATAGTCAAATGGGTAAGTTGGGTTTTTATGAAAGAGGTGGATTTAATACAGATTTTATTGTTGGGTTTGGTCTTGGTCTTAGAGTTTCAATTTCAATCAGTTATTATTGGGCTACTTGTTTTCAACATAAACAAAAAAAAGAGTAATCACAATACTAATTAATGACGACTCCTATATTAAATGAAATAATGAAAAATGGTGGAGAAGTAAAAGCATGCGTTAGAATTGTGACTCTCTTTAGGAAACCAAAATTTATCTTTAATGACATACAATATTTGACATTGTCATTTTCTTTATTTAAATTTCAAGCCTGTTCGAGTCAGCAGACCTATCTTTCCCATGACTTTCCTATGATAATGTGTTGTCAGGTTAGGTGGGTTCCAAGATTCAGCTCATCATGTCTTAATACTGTTATAATCGTAACCAAAAGTATTCAACCAAAGTAAATGAACAACATGTATAACTGTTCATCTGCAAAATGACCACGCTGACAATATTCCCCATATTGGAAGGCATCGTTACTTGTGTAATTTGTTGGCACTATGAGGGGCATTTTAGTAAAATAAACTTGCATTAGTTTTGAGTTAATGGTGTGGCAACTGATTATTTATCGTGGGAACTACCTAGTATAACTTAGTATACTTTCAGAAATACATAATATAATTTGTAAGAGTTTGTAAACAAAAAGTTTATAAATATAATCTTCTCCGTTTAACATAGACCCATGCAAAAAAATATTTATTACACGCTTTTAGACCATAATTAATGTATGTTTCAGAAAAAGAAAAATACCATTGATTTTAAGTTCTTGTTCTAAAATATAATCAAGTTTATTAAAATAAATGACAAATATTATGAGTTTTGTTGAATCTATATAGGGGTGACACTTTCAAAAACAAATTTTTTTTCCTTATTAGGACTTAAATTTGAGATTTTTAATTAAAAATAAATAAATATTTTTCTAGAACATGCATTAATTAATTGTAATAAAAAAGATGCAAAAATTTCTTCCCCGAGTACATAATGCAGTTTTAGCATGTGTGTGAATTGTGAGGGCTAATTAATTAGGCGCTGTTAATTATTGAGGTTGGACCAAAGAGATTGAAAGCGTTTCCAATTCCATAGTCAATTGCTGAACATTCAAGAAACTGCAAGGGTGATGAATGGTGTTGTTAGCCCATTACCCAAGGCAAGTGCAAACTGCTGCTGATAACATTAAAAGGCAATTATATATTTATTTGTTCTCTTTGCTGCCTTAATTAATCATATACTGCTTGGCCCTTGTAACTTGCAACAACATAACATAACATTCATATACGCTCAGCTCAAGTATCCGAAACTGTGTATTCCTTTGTGTTACGTCAAAAGCAGACCAAGGGATGCACCATTGCTTTCACTATAGGAATTACTAGTTTGTTTTCTAAATAATTACGAATTTATGAAATTTTATTTATTTATTATTTTGAACAATTAGTGTTATTTTTTTAAATTTTGTTTTCATCTTTTACTATTTCTACCAAGTAAAATGAGTGAACATTAATGAAATAAAAAGATAATATAATCAAATGAATTTTTATTTACTTAAAATTGAGTTAGTTTTTTTTTTATTTTTTTATAAAAAAATCTTAAATGATTTATATCTTTTAATGAATAGAGTATATAAAATGATAGTAAGGAAAAATGAGAATTCGAAAACGCAATCAATGTGTCCAAATACTGGTATAATCATACGAACAGGCCCAATTACTTATCTGTTACATCTAATTTCGTGCGTAACTAGTTCGCTTAATTCTGTGTATAACTAATTGTATTAATTTCATATATATTTTCTTAACGAAATTAATTCTGTAATTATTTATTAAAATTATAATATTTAATTCTTTTATATATATCAACCCTAATATTTAATATATATTTTTTAGCTGACTTTTAGCAGAACATTATTCATTGCAGCTGGCAGCACTACTACCTAAAGTTGTAATCCTTTCTTGTAGGCAGCAAAGGGTGGCGGCTAAAATACTGCAGATCTAGAAATGAATGATACCATTTTTGTGGAAATATTATAGGATATGAAAAATTAGATTATGGGATTTGTATAATTTGGATAAATTCAAATCTCGGTGCTATAATTATATTAAAAAAAAAAACAAGCTTTTCAGTCCCTGTACCCTACCATCTACAAAGCATGGACACGCTCCGTGAAAAAAAATTTGCATATTGGACACGTATCCGACATCGACACGTTCGGACACGCGTCCAATATGTGGTCAACATTTGGAGACACGTGGTCAACTCTCTGACACGTTCCGACACGTTTTTTTGACACGCGGTCAATGCTCGGACACTTTTTTTTTAAATAAATCTTAATTTTATTTTGTTAACTAAATATAAAAGAAATAATTTATAAATTAATTTATTTCTGTTATGAAATTTGACATGAAAAATTAACAAAGTACGAAAAATTATTTAATTTATATTTATGTTATGAAATTTAAAAATTTGATTGGTTATATGACTTATTATGGACTCTTATATGTATCAAATATAAATTATATTATATATACTAAAAATTTTATTTAATATCAAAACGTGTCCCAACGTGTCCAAATATGACATTTTTTAGAATTTACGTGTCGGCGTGTCGTGTCGTGTCGTTTCCCGTGCCTGTGTCCGTGTCCGTGCATCATAGCCTCTCATCACTAGTCTATTTAAAAAATGTGCATAATATTGTCATTTCCATTGCAAGCACTTTTAGGGGTGTATTGGATTGAGATTTTAAAGGATTTTAATGGATTGTTTTTGGACAAAAAAAGTCACGTGGTATTCGATTAGGATTTTAAAGGATTATTTTAGAATCCGTTCAAATCCGTTGGTATTCAATCCGAATTTTAAACATTGGAATCACACTCTCGTGGTATTCAAAAATATGACGATTTTAATGGAATTTATATTGATGTGGATTTCGTGAGACTTTTTAGTGAAAAATATAAATAGGATGCCTCTCACAATCTCACCTTAACCCCTAAGATTTCTTGAGATTCTTCTATTGCAGTGTTTTCTTCTTCCTTTGGCAGGTTGACTACTCGAAATTGGGTTTCGCCATGGGAGCTTCGTTAAAACTAAAAAAAGAATATTTTGAGCGATTTTCATCACAAAACAACCCAGAAACAACTCAAAAATAACATATTTTTGAGAAATTTTGGAAGTTTAAAAAGTGATTTTTCAAGCTATGGGTCGCGGTTTTTCTTGGCACAAGAATATGTGATTTTTGTATTAAAAACAACATAAAATAGTGAAAAAATAACAGGGAAACTAAAACGCTCAAACCAATTTTCGTTTTATATCAATGAAACAATATCAATTTAAAGAAAGATTGAAACTTTCATAATATGAACCCTATATTTCGTAACAATACATTCATGAACGAAATTCCTTCACTATAGGAAACAATTTTGAACAATTTTTGTGTCAATAGATAACTAAAAGCTTGTTTCTCAAAAGCCTTAAAGCAATTTAAGATTTCAATGTATCGATTGAAAAAAATTTGAGAAATTTTCATGTAATTAAACCCAAAATTTCAGATTCGAAATTTTCTTAGAATATTCAATGAAAATATGCATATGATATATGATTAGAAAATTCTAAATATTCAAGATCAATTGCAAAAAATTCCAAACGAAATTTTATCATGAACTTTAGGTTCTATATGCAAATTTAAAATTATTTTTATAACTAACAAAATTGGATCTTATAATCATATATGCATAGCTTTGATACCAAATGAAGAAGATAATTTTCAACCCATTAGATATGTGAAAAGTTGTTGTTTAGTAATTTTGAATGTTTGTTAAAAATTATATTATGTTTTACTGAATGAGAAAATTATATTAGGTTTTACTTTTTTTTATTAATTTCATTGCATTTCTTTGTTATTTTTTTTATGGGAAAGATTATACTTACAACTTTTTACAATCATATCTTAACCGTTGATTTCCGTCAATCAATGGTTATTATTTTCGCAAATCAAACTCATTTATTAATATTTAATTTACAATAAATGATAACCGTTGATTGACGGAAATCAACGGTTAAGATATGGTTGTAAAATATTCTAAACAAAAATAAGTTGTAAGTATAACCTTTCCTTTTTTTATTGGCTCTTGTAATTTTGAATGTTTGTTAAAATTTCATATGATTTTTTAAAATCTTATAGATCCATATTGTCCTTTCAAATCTTACAAATTCTATTAAAATCCTTTAAAATCCAATCTTATGAAATCTTGATGGTAAAAAAAGTCTTTTGAAAAAGTCTTTAAAGTCTCTCCAATTCTAAATAATCTTTTAAAATCTATAAGATTTTTTAGTTCAAAAAAGTCTTTTAAAATCCTAATCTAATACACCCCCTTAAAATTCATATATCACTCGGTAATTTTCCAATGGGTTGAGATGAGGAACACAAAGGAAAAAGATTGTTGTCTTGTTGACATATAAAGGAGAACTAGGTGACTGCGAAATATGTGGAAATAACTCTCACCCACATGTTGTATATGATGGATTAAGGTCAGATATATTGAAAAGTTCTGCATTTACCGAGTGCCATTAACTACTGAATTTCTCAGCAATCCAATAAATATGGGAGATTATGAAATTTGTGCAAATAAATAGTATAGTGAAGAAGAAGAAGAAGAAAAAATAAAAAAAAAAACCAAGGGTTTGTTTGGGTTTCTGAAGATAACGGCGAGAATGAAAAGTTCAATGGCAATTACTGTTAAGTCTATAATACTCAACAATTATTGTTATTATTATTATTCGCACCCAAAAGGCCAAAAGTAATGGTGCTATTAATGCATAGCACTTCAAAAATATCAATCTCAAAGTGTGTGATACTTTACTTGTTGATTAGTACACTTTGGGCCACGAGGGTTCGTGCATTGTTATACGTTGCCACTCATTGACCTTGTTAGGTAAGCTACTCTTAATTTGGTCCATGTGGTGTAGACCCAAACTTTAAAAATGATGTCTGGATTTTCAACTTCCAATCGTGAAATTGGCGTGGAAAGGAGTATGTATGTTGCTTAGATTGTGGGTTATATCTCTCAAATGGGTCACTGAATGTCATTAATTAGGGGAAGGGTTCCCATGTCCTTGGTTCATGTTGTTAACAAATAACTAACAAAGATGTCACTCCCATCCCATCATCCCCAGTCCCTCTCGGTGTTTAAATGGAACACATGTACAAATACACAGCATTCATGACAAAATATGATCCAATCTAAGAATATGCTATATTTGAAATGGTAAAGTTGAATACCTTAAAAGTTTATAAATCATTTATTAGCTTGCACAATCCTTTTCGTTTATACTTTCTACACAAAAACAGATTTTAGTCAGCAAGTGTAGAACGGATATGTAGGTTGCTGGACACTCGATCCTATTGAAAATGAATTGAAAGTACAAAGAGAAATGCAATAGATGAAAGGATGGTAGATTCCGAGTTTAGAGGGTGCGCCTTGACTAAATGACAGCAATCAACAAAGTGTCTTAGGATGCCAACAAAATCTGTAAGATATTGTGAGAGGATAAGATATCACAGAAATATAGCAGCCAAAGGATGACATATCACAACCAGTCTTTATTGTTGAGGACAAAACATGAGTCGATGATGTAGCAGTGCGGTTTCATTTGGCATGAGACATACACGTGAACTATTTTCTTTTCTTTGTTCACCTGCTTTGTACTAACACGAAGAGAATAGACCTCTTTCACTATTACCATATCATGAGAGAGAAGAAGTACGAAGAAACAGTAGTGAGGCTAGTCCAACATAAGCACTGGAACCGTGGGCACGTAGGTTGAAACATGTTTCCCCAGCTCCTTAATCAATAATTGCATACACTTTATCTTTCTCTCTGCCCCCCCATCACTTCCTTCTGACATGCACTTCCATCTCCTTCTATATAATGTTTTTAAGTAATCTAACAACTTGCCCTATTGGTAGCAGCAAAACTTATTTTCATTTTTTAGATTGATTACATGATGAGTTCTTCGGTCTCCCTTCTATACTGCCTTATCACATTCTCTTTATATTCCCTCTCTCTCCAAACAAGCTATTCTCTAGATGTTGCCCCAATACGGAAGTTGAGCATGTCAGCCCCTACCCACGATCATGAGTATCACAAAACCCAGGTATGTTTAATGTTTCCCCAATTAATTATCTAAGACAGTTAATACCAGAAAGGTAAGATCAGAATAAGATGCAACATATTCGTAGAAAGCATAAACCAAATATAATCTACAAGCTCTTTCTCTTTTCCCTGTGCCACTATTCCTAAATTTGCCCAAGCACCTCTTTCCTTTTTTTTTTCCATTGATTCTTGGAACATGACAATATAAAATGCAGGTAGAAGATGAAGCAATGGAAAGTATACCTGCCAAGGAAGATTCCATGAGACTAGAATATACAAGTAACAGTTACAGTCCTCATGATCTTGTCTATCATACAGATTACCATGGAGTAACAACTCATCCAATTCCTAAACATCCCATACCGTAGGCTGCAGCTTTAATTTTGCTTGGCGAGAGATTTATGCAGACATGTATTCTACTTATTATGAATATATAAATGTAAGGCATTATGTGGAGAGAAAAGAGGTTTTGTTTATATACTTAAGCTGATTACATGATACATTTTCATTGCTTATGTAGTTTGCTCAATACTTCCATACATAACTTGTAAGCTATAGCTTACAAAAACAAACAAAACCTGATGAGTCGGCGGCTAAGACACTAATGATGCCAAGCAGTGAAAATAAAAATAAAAATAAAATAGTGGTACTACAATTTATCATGAAGTGAAACCATTCCATTAACATATTGCTTTCTAGTCTTTGTATACTTCTGAAGTAGCATCCTGTGACTTGTTACTACATCCTCAAATACCACCTCACTACAAAACCTAGACTTCACATTCAAAAAAGCAGCTTCTAATTTGTCCTTGTGTCGGGTACACATGGAGAGTATATCTTCAATCATGAATGATTTATTTGTGTTGTATCCACTGCTGGTGTCTTTTTCCATATGAAGAACCCTAAGCCATCGGATTTGCTGGAATGGATCTTCACTTTTCTGAATTGCAACCTCTATGCAACTCAGCACTTCCAAGAACCTAGATTCAGAACGAATTTTATCAAGTAAGTGGACAAAAGTGTTTCTCTGACTCTGAACAAGCCTATTATAAACACCTGGTGGCAAGGAAACTGCAGCAGTCAAGCATGCTTTGCGAAAGCTAGGATCAAAATTGCCAATGATCCCAATGGCAACATGTAACAGATTTACAGACACAAGATCAAGTTTTTGAGACAAAGAGTTCAAGCCATCACAGCATGGTCTTTTCCGGTTTTCACTCCAGCAGTGAAGTGCAAAATGAGCTACTCCTTCCCACCTATGTTTAATGGTAGACACATAATGAGTGAAACTAAGACAATTAAATCATCACAGATAACGAGTCTTTTTAAACATGGCGAGAATATTGTGTGAACTATTAAGTAGTAAGTACAATCTTTTATTTGCAGTGATGCATTTGCTCTATTAACACAGTGCACGCCGCTATAGTGCTCAAAGTCTCTTCAATCACATCACTTATTTGCAGGCGCAATCAATACGAGGTCCAAATATAACTTACAAACTAGCAGTCACATACAATCAAAGGAAAAGGAAATTCTAAATAAAATAGAAAAACAAAATTCATAAATTAATAAGAACACCTAATGATTAAATAATCTTCCCAAATAAAAGATACCCAGTTATAACCTATCTACTCAGTAACCAAACATGGTAAAATCCCAGCTTTACACTCTTCATATGGGCTTGGGGACAAACTAACAGATGATGAAAGGTTTATAACTTATACTCATCCTTATCATAGGGGTAATAATAGACGTAGGCATCATTATTACATATACTAAAAAACTGGTCCATGAATCAGCTTTCCAAAGGCATAGGTCTGAAAGCTAGCCCCTGTGTTCTGCAGACACACTTGTCCAATTTTAATAATTGATTTTAGTGTGGGTCACTCCACATGCATTGTTTCTGTTTTCTGCTTCAAAAACAACATCTATCAAATAATTTTTTATCAGTCAGTATAGAGCATTATACATGCTCAACTTGAAGGAAAGAAAATGACTAAATTACGAAAATGAAAAGAATGTATTCATAATTAATGGCATCAATAAAATCTTAGAATTATGCTAAGGAATAAGAGGTGTAAGAAGATGCTTCCGCAGGCAATATTTTATGATGCTACAACAAACCAAACTCTGGCAGTATTAGTGGTTCAATCAATAGGCTGTCCTGTACTCCGATGTTTATTTGATAACCAACCAATCAAACTAACGGTCAGGGACGGAACAGAAATACTTATCTGAGGGTACACAGTACAAACAGTATGAAGATATAATATTTATGATCTTTTACTGTAGATTTAATTAACTAAAACTACAAAAAAAAAAAAAAAAAAAATCATTCAGGGGGGTGCAGCTGCCCCCGTCCCCATGAATGTAGGTCCATCCATGCTTATGGCCATTTGTCATGGACTGAAGGACCTACTAGTCCCAATTAATCAAAGATGGACCGACTTTGCCTGGATAGGGACAAGAACATTAAGACCTAACCATTAGTATGGCGGTTTATTGATTTGGAATTTTGAAAACAAGCATGTTGACAGTTTACTGTAGATAATACTTTTCTTTTTCAGAACAGAGCTTTTAATTTTCCATTGAGGGGAAGCAAAAGAAATTGATGAAGATACTATCAAGTATATGTGAGATCTTACGCTGATTCATAAAATTGATCACTCTAAGCATTAACAATATCAATTAACTGCATCCATATACGCATACGATAGATACATTGTATTTGACAGTATAGAGACAAACTTCGTCCATGGACATGTATATGACTCATTTTCTTCCTAGCATCAAACCTACTAGCCTCTAAGCTCCAATGTAGTAATAACACTCTTATAGTGAAAAAAGTACAATGCAGTGGCAGAGAGAAAGAAAATCACACTAAATAGGGGTAACTGCCACAGGCATAAAAGGAAACTCCAAGACTAAAATTTATTTATTTCGCAGCAAATACTTCTGAAAGATTTTCTCCATATTTTTCCCATCCTATGTCTGGTGTGATTCTCTTTCATGATTTTCTATTTTGAAAAGCAGTATTTTTGAAGAAATTCAAGCATTCCACCAACTTCATAATCCTTAGCAACATTATCCTCGTTTTTATAGTCAGCCAATAACCACATGTTTATTTGCCATTCACTGCCAATGGAAGACACACATTGGTCACCGGTCACCTAATCCAATCACCAATTGCTGGCACAGGCCTCCTTCCTCCGGTGGATCTACACATAAGTGCTTGACTGCCTAGACAGACATCACCTAATTTATTATTCTCAATACCTGTACAAGCCTGTTTGCACACCAAATATGACAAAGTTTGTGCACAAATCAAAATTCAGAAATACAGTTGCTATTAAAAGCATTTTGCTCTAACATAATACAAAATAACCCCCAAATATCTTCGGCACCAAATTGTGAACTGAGCTTTTACAAATTTATTCTCTTGGGTTTTTCTCCATTATTCTCTATGAAGGAATTCTTCCTTCTTGTATATTTCAGACTCTACTTAAATCGTTTCACAATTACAAATTATTTGCCTTTTTCTTTTAACTTTACACAGTCCTTACATTTCGATAACTATTATTATAGCTATCCAACAATGAAAAGGGAGGAAGGCCCATAATACCCAACCAAAGTTCTATACAACTTCATTTTGCATACTTGCACCCAACATCCTAAGAGCGGCTGAGATTTGCATAATACATACATATAATATAACTGACTGTTTGTGCACCCATAGCTCATTTGTTATTGTAAATATACACTTTAAATTTCTGTTCTACTTACAAATAGAGCATACAACACCATGCAATTATGGCACAATTTCCTTATGAAACATAAAATGATGTATATTCCTTTTTCTTTTTTTTCAATTATGTTTCTTCCTTCCATGAGTGCATTCCTGTAATAGAATAAGAGAGAAAAGGCAGGTTCAGATTTGACCTTACCACATATCATCTGGCCATCATCTAGTCAAACATTGTCATTTTCTTTACATGCCGAAAAGAAGAATTAATAGAGTTTACAACCACAATCTTAAATCATAGAGCAAAGAAAAGAAAAGAAAAGAAAAAGGGTAATGATAAAATCAATGAAGTTGTAACTATAAGATAATAAAGGAACCTTTATAACCCAAATCATCATAACCAAAGCTTATTGCATTTGAACCAATAAAAAAATAGTTTAAGTTAACCTTAACTTACTCGAAAGGAGGTTCAACTTCAATACTAAGTGTAAGGTGCAATGAAAACCCAGGAGAACCATCACCAACACCAGAGTTTGTATGAGCTTCATGAGGAAAACCTCTGGGAATATATAATACATCACCCTCATTGAGAAAGAACTCTCTTCTACCAGCTTTTGTACAATCAATATCAGAACCATGTAGATTATCATATAATCGAGGTAACAGTGGACTGGGTCGAGAAAATACCGTCCAATGCTTGGAACCAAAAATCTGGCATACAAATACGCAGTGATCATCAAAGTGGCAAGCCAACCCCTGAGAATTAGGTGGTGTTAAGTACAAATTGGCACCTACTGAAGGTTGGCCAAACATAAGTGCTAATGTATCTGCAATAGCAGCAATGCTCTGATAGCGAAACTCCAGACCACGTAGGGCAACAGTATAACCCTCTTTATATGCTTGACCACAATTTAAGACATCACCAATAGTAAAATACAGAGGTTCCTTAATAAAGCCTGGATGAAGGTCCCGAAAGTAATGCATCTCTTTTCCTGATTGACTCTCGGTTTTTACAACTCGAATATCCTGCTGATAGGTTATAGGACAACCCAATCTATCTTTCACCTCATTCAGAAAATTGAGGATGTCTTGCTCATCTGAGGCAATAGGAAAACAAGACACTAAACCTTGAAGAATTGAGGAAAGAAGGGAAGGAACGCTCCCATTCCAGCTCAAAGATTGTATAAATGGGCAAAACATATCATGCATATCGTGATCCTTTAATGTCCTTGTTAGAAGAAAAGGTGAAACTTCCCAGTAATTTGATATAAAATCTTCAAAACTAGAATCACTTGTACCAAAAAGACCTCTTTTGACCACTTCAAAAGGGGCAGAGACCCTAAGTCGAGAGGCATTAATGGAAAGCCTAAAGATGCTTTCTGCAAGATTACAAACTCCAATGTTGCTTTTACAAATATGTCCTCCTTGGTTAGATTTCATAGCACCTTTGACTACCCCATGATCACTTACGTGTGCCCTTATCTCTTTTAAAAGGCTCAGGAATGCTTCAGAAAGACTACTTGGGATATTCTGCAGTTGCTCAACCTCACAGGCATTGATAAGAATAACGGTTGCACTGAGAAATGCCAATGAGAGTTCATCTTCCTTGATCCCAATCTTAAGAGAGTGAAAGCTTTCATCGCCCTCAGTCCATAAACAGACGGACTTTAAACACTTAAAAATATGAAGAAATACAAACCTAAAGGATGTTAGAAACACTTAAAATTAAGATGCGCATATTGCAAAGGCCATGTTAGAAATAAAAGCATCACTAATTCAGGGGTTAATGGTTACTTACATTAGCTTCTCCAAGGCAGAAAACTTGAGAAGTTGTTGTTGACCAAAGGTGGTAGTGGACAAGTCCAATACGGCGTTGCAGGCAGAAAACATAACCTTTCGATTCGGATTATTCAACAGTGAGATTAATCCCTTCACAGTTTCAGAATCCGAAGCAATCTCCTCGTTCATGTCCAACGAAACGAGCGAAGCCGCGCCAATGATATCTGCCGCACGGCACGCGATTTTGGAATGCGTGGAGCGGAGGAGAGTTGGAAGCAAAGAGAGAATGGGTCTCAGGGAGGTTTGGGAGAGAAGAAGGGAAGGGCGAATTTTGAATAAGCATTTGGTGATGAAGGGAAGAGAGTGGTGTTGGTGGAGATTGGAGAGGGATGCGAGTATCAAAGAGAAGATGGCATTGGCATTCGACACTTGAACATGAAGCTCACACGATGAGGGTTTCGGTTTCGATTTCCTTTTCCTCTTATCGCGAGCTGCAACTCCATGCTTCTTCTTCTTCTTCTCCATTCTTTCTCTATTCTCTATTTGGCACCTTACCAGCTTTCATATGTTGACGACGATCCACGGAGCGGGCCTCGAAGGCCCAAGCCCGTAATTCATAATCAACCAACTTAATCGCGTTGTCATTTGCATTCTAACCCAAACAAACTCGTATTTAAAAAGACAAAATCAAGATTTCCCCCGCGCAAGCAAGAAAAGGACTAACGTAAATTTGGCTTAATTGATTGGGACATCATATTTATTGGCAAAAAAATTAATTTATTGCTTTTTTAATAAAAAAGTACGAATAAGTAGTCATTTTAAAATTAATTACGAAAATATAGCAGTCAAACACGCCTCTATGGGGCGTGACCGGTTGGAGAGAGACACGCTCAATGTTGGGCGTGACCTAAGCGTGACTCACACCCACATGGGGCGTGACCAAGTTGGAGAGAGACACGCCCAACGTTGGGCGTGACCGAGGAGAGAGACACGCCCAATGTTGGGCGTGTTTCACCAAGTGCTGCCACGTGTCACAAAAGTCAATAATTTGACCGTAAAACTTTAGAAGTCCATAACTTTTGACTCGGGTATCCGAATTAGGTAATTTTTTTTGATTCCACATAACCTTTCGAGATCTACGTAATGACACTTAATTTGACCTATTTTGTCTCTCACAAAAAAATTTGAATTTACAACAATGATACCATAATTATTAAAAATGACATGACTTTGTTACCTTATAATTATTACTAAAAATAATCTAACATTTTTATAATCATGAACAAAAACTTAAAAATCAAAATAAAACGAAAAGCACTCACTTAACTTTTTAATATAAATTATTCGATATTCTGTCACCGACAGATGTTAACTTTTATTAATTATAAATTTCATAAAATTCTTCATTCAAAATTTTAAAATATATCTCAATAACATACATAATTAACCTTATCATAACTTACCATAATCATAAGGATCTTTATTATGAATGTTTCTAATCATAAGAGTGGTTTTCTGTTCATTTTTGTTTAAACGTTCTTATGGTATCATTATTGTAAATTCAATTTTTTTTTGTGAGAGACAAAATATGCCAAATGAGGTGTCATTACGTAGATCTCGAAAAGTTATGTGCATTCAAAAAAAAATTACCTAATTCGGATACCCGAGTCAAAAGTTATGGACTTCCAAAGTTTTACGGTCAAACTGTTGACTTTTGTGCCACGTGGCAGCACCTGGTGAAACACGCCCAACATTGGGCGTGTCTCTCTCCTCGGTCACGCCCAACATTGGGCGTGTCTCTCTCCAACCGGTCACAGCGTGTCTCTCTCCTCGGTCACGCCCAACATTGGGCGTGTCTCTCTCCAACCGGTCACGCCCCTATGGGGTGTGTTTAACTGCTATATTTTCGTAATTAATTTCAAAACGATTACTTATTCATAATTTTTTATTAAAAAAACAATAAATTAATTTTTTTGCCCATATTTATTGGCATAGTGATGCGTCTACAGTAAAGCATATGCTCTGTTGCTATGTATGAAACGGATATAGCCCTTACAAGCATATAAGATTACCAAGAATCGACGGGGTGGTAGGTAGGAGATATATTTTCAGATGACTGGAAAGTGAGGGTAGATTTCTATGAATATCATGTTTGGTAGCATATTGGATACAATTTTTCTGGAAAAATGATTTTCTCGGAATTCTTTTTGGTGTGTAATTGTTGGATGAAAATACCATGGAAGAATACTATCCATCGATTGTTGAGAAAATGAAAAATGTCACCCGAAACATAGACTCATAAACTTTAATCAGTATTTCTAATAATATTTTAACCTATCAAATAATTTTTTTTTAATATTATCAAAAAACTAATGATCTCAACATATTTTCGACAATCATGATTTCCGAATTAAATTTTTTTTCTTCTATCAAACGCTCTCTAATATTGCACATCATTTTAGGCCTAATTTTACATAATCTAAATCTTTGTACGGGATTGGGTTCAATTCCTTTACATATTAACCTAGTACTTGTCCAGTTGTCCTAAAGTTTCAACCTCATTTTTTTTATTATTGTTATTTATGTTTCAACCTTAAAATTTTGACATAAAAGATAATGCATCAAATAAAGTACAAGAACAATTGTGTTTAAAGAATGTGATGTACGGTGTACTCCTTTTAAAACAGTACAGAGCGAGCATACCCCTTTACCACTTGTTTTTCAAGCTATCAGCCTATACAGCTTCTTTGACATCATTCATCTTACGCAGATTTACTTGTGTTGTCCTCAATATAATAGGAAACGTATCATATTATTAATAGAGTACAATCGTGAAAATATTCCATCACCATTTGCTTTCAAGCTATAAAAAGTACTTTGACATCATTCACCTTATGAAGATTTCTTTCTGTTGCCTCAACATTTTCAACAAAATAGAAACGGGTATCATCAAACTGGAGCAAGTGTTTTGGAACCGATACCAATCCAAGATGCAAAAGGCCACTTTCAGTACTGGAAACTAATGTAATTGTTTTCATGTCTCAACATTTCAATCTAAATGCAAGTAATCAAATCCTTTCCCAATAAGTGGCCGAATGCACATAGCCTTTGATTCAATTAGAGCGAAATCAAATATTGCATGAGCCATTGTATATATATATATATATATATATATATATATTGCATGAGCCACGGATTGTTAAATAACAGAGATGCATATGTATTTAGACATGTGGTATATACAGGTCCCAATCATGCCCTTTTATCAAATGGGAGAAAATGCACTACGCTTTAGACCCAATTTCAAATTAAACTATCACAATCCAATAATGGAAACAGTAAAAAGATATCACAGCAGGAAGATTGATTCCGTATAACAAAACAAAATCTTAGCACTAGTAACATTAATCGTTCAGAGCAACTGCATACAATATAAATACACATTAGTTGTCAGGCAAAACAAAAAGAAAACAAAGGGCAAAAAAAGTATAAACAAGGAATATCTATACAAAAGGATGCTATTTGAGACAGCTAGCTATACGGGAGGTATGTTAGAAAAAGAGAACCCTTGGTATCCCTTGTAAGCATAATATGCAATCCGCGTATAGTAGAAACCCGGTATGAACAAGATTGTTCCCAGTACAGCAAAGAAGAGACCTATCCAAAAAAAATTAAAAACAAAAACAGAGCTCAAATTAATTAATTAGTTATATACTCTAGTCTGGTGGTGGCTAAATTTCAGAATGTAAGATGATTTTAAAATATCCAGCCAAGTTTTGAACTTGTCCAGTTGTAAAACTAGTTGTACAAAACCACTCCCTGTTAAATCCTTACTAAAGATGGTGGAATAAGAACAATCTTTGTACACAGCCTTATCCTTACATATTTGTAAAGATGTTGTTTCCCATATTCGACCACCGCTCGAGGCTTGCCTCTTAGTTGGACAACTAGTTGTAATGAAACAAAATTCCCAAGTCATCCGGTGACATGAGGAGGATGGATAAGGAAGACCAGGGGAAAATAGTTGACTCAAACAAGATAATTAGAGCCAATGCTGAGATGGAAACAAATATATAAAGTAAAGCGTGGGAGGCAAGAAAAGGCATGAGGAAGAAATGTTCCGACAGCATGATGAAGGATATTGAGACCTGAGGAGAGACAGTGGCTTTTAGTGAGGGAAATCACACGAGAGGGGGTATTGAGGATGCAGTTTGGTATCTCATTCTCTCTCTGTATTTTTCCTCTCTGAATTTTCTCTACCCTCTTTTCTTCTGCGGCAATTATCTTTTACATTTTCCTCGTAATTGAATGATTTTGTTGACCAAAGGTCAGTTGGAAAACATAATAACACCATTCTCTGCGTGAGAAATCAGAATCATTTCAATTCCATCTTGTTTATTAGCTCAAACAATTTTGGCTGCTTATTACACTAGAACTCTCGGATTTCCAGCCACCAAGCAAACCAATATCCAAATACACGTTTGCATTTGTCAGAACAAATTTTCCTAAACACAACATTTTGTGGGCCACACACAACATCTTGAGGATCCTATACTTTTTGAAAAAAAAAAAAAAAACTAAATTACAGCGGCCAAAACGAATTTCTATAACATTACACGATCACTTCTCCTACAACGTAACTCTTATAAAACCCTATTACATATTACAACTTTGAAGAACAAAAAACACACAATTTCAGACTTCAGGGTCCGTTTTATTTCCAATAAATAACAACCCACGATTTAAAATTTTCCTGAAATTCTCAAAATAAACTTACGCTCTTTTTTTAAGAATAATCAAAGGGGAAATCTTAAGGGGGATGAAGGAGAAGAGAAATGTTGAAATTAAGAAGAAAAAAGAAAAGAAAAGGCGGGTGTTGTTAAATTAATGATAATAATAAGGTTACCGTGAGCTATGTCGCCGCCGACATGGTTATAGGCCATGAGGGATCCGATGATGATGCCTAGGGTTCCGAAGACGAGAAGAGAAACGGCAAGTCCAATCTCCTTAATGGGGGGCTTGTTGCTCACCGTGTACGATGTCTCCATCATTATGTCCTCGTCCGAAATCGAGAACGCGTGATCTACGTACGCCATTACTCTCTCTCTCTCTCTCTCTCTCTCTCTTCAAGATTCAGATTTAGCTGTGGTTTTCGGGGATTGATGAAATAAACATGAGCTGCTTCTGTTCATTGATTTCTGCTTTGCTTGCTTTTCAAGTTCCACCTTTCAAAACCACACCTTCTCAATATTCTTCAAGTTTTCGGAGATATTTATCACCCAATTAATTAAAGAAAAAATATTTATTCTTTTAGATAATACAATTTATATATTTCATTCTCTCACAAAGAGATGAGACTCACACTTTTATTTTTTTTATCAACTTTCTCTTCTTCTTTATCTATCTCTTAAAATAACATAACTTTACATCTTTAAAATGACACACACTTTTTCCATTAATTAACCACAAATTATAATTATTGTAAATGGTAGGATATTGTAACAAATCAATTAGTGTTACTATTAATATTATTACCAATTTTATCGCGATAGTTATATTTATTTTCATTTTTATATGATTATAATTATTTATATTGAATGTGCAAGTATTAAATATGAGAAATTATAACCTGTAAAGCACGGACACTGGATTGTTGAGAAAAAATGCATGTCGGACACGTGTTCGACACGCGTCTGACACGCGGTCAACTTTTTAAGACACGTTGACTTAAGGGACACGTGATTTTGACCGAATTCAACACCGGACACGTGTTCGACACGCGTCTGACACGCGGTCAACTTTTTAAGACACGTTGACTTAAGGGACACGTGATTTTGACCGAATTCAACACGCAAGTCAATGTGACACGTGTTGGCATTTTTTTTTGTAAAAATAAAATAAAATTACAATTAAAAAAAATTAAAAAATTTAATAAAAATTAAAAAGTAAACAAAAGAGAATCCTATCTCGTTCACTGGACGCTCCCTCACCTCTTTTCGTCGTCGGATCTCTGCTTCTCGTCTCTTCTTCCTACGGTCGTCCTCTACATCTCCGGTCTCTTTCGAATCAGAAACTTCCTTAGCTTTAGGGCTTTCATATAGGTTGAATATTTAACACTGATTTTGGGCTTTCAACAGAGCTGCAGCTCGTGGTTCTGCTCCCGTTTCGCTTCGCAGTTACGGTTTCATCACGGTTAGTGTGGCTTTGACAATGCTTTTGTTTCTTCTATTCTTGTCAAGTTTTGATTTCTGTTTAGGCATTTTGGGGTTTCCTTGTTTAATTAATTTTAGTTATTTGTGTCTTTGATTTGGGATTTATTTCTCTTTAGTGTTTAGTAAAATAAATCAAATTAGTTGTAGTTTATCAAAAATCAACCTATGTGTACCCTCTATTTGTTTATTTTTAATTTGAATCCGAAAACCATAAATAAACTAAGAATGATAGAGAAATGAGGATGGTGTATGAGTTGAGTTGTTCTGGTTAGAGAATTGGTGTGCCAGCATCACTAATCAAATGCATCATCATCTTGCTGAGTCATTATCAGTGTCTTGCCCCACCTAATCTAATTATGTGCAATATACCTATTAACGTATTTGTAAAAATTTTGGCGATTAAGAAGTTCTTCTAAACTAATTTGGTTATAAAGCACTTGTCAAATTGAAGTCTATACATATTGGTTGGAAAAAGGAAAAACTAAAATATGAACTTTTCTTCATTTGCTATGCCTAGTTGCTAACTTTTTTGGAGCGTAACTGAAACTGCTCTCTCTATCTTATATATTTGCACTTGCTTATTTTCTTTGCCATAGTTCACAATGCAATAGAGCATTAGATTGGTTTGGTGGGTTCATTTTATTTGCACAGGAACCTGTTACTAGTGTACCCAAAGAACAAATAATAAAGTTGCACAAAATGGTTCTCCCTCCAAGCTCCAGCAAAGTGCTCAACCATGTCTATCCAACCTAAATCAGTGTTAAATGTTCATAGCCATTCTCGTCTCGTTCATTAGATTGGTTCCTCTTACATTAGAACTTTCAAATTCATTGCAACTTCCTCCAATTTCATTGTTAAGCAAAAAGTTGTCCAAATGAACAGCAGCAGGTGCATTCCAGTTTTCATTTGTATGGAATTTGTTGCCTTCCTTAGCACAATCTCTTATGCTAACACTGTCACTGGAATTGGTGTTAACATTTTTGTTACCTTGAGCTGCATTGCCAGGAATAGTGAGTGGCCTATTGAATAAGGGAAAGGCATTTTGAAAGCATCTTAGCATTGTTTGGAGCATATGGTTGGGTTGGTGGCTGTGGATTAGGCTGATGGATACCTCCAACATTTTCAAGGAGGTTTTGTGTTGGACTTTCATCATTGGAGACCCTTACTGAATGGATTTTTTCATTTGGTTACCTAGGAGGCCTTGCCCATGGATCAAACTTATGACATGCATCTCGATACCTTGTGTCTTTTGTATTTCTATAGTTCTGTTATGATCATTTAGGAGGGAGAATATGTCATCATCTTAGCTTGTATTACATTCTTTCTCTTTGTGAATGGAATTGATTTGATTAACCCCCTTCTTTTTTTTAAAATAATTTTTAGGGTAAGATCTTATTGTTAACTATATTATATATATTAAAAATTTTATTTAATATCAAAACGTGTCCGAGTGTGTCGGAATTTAGCATTTTTTAGAATTAACGTGTAGTCGTGTCGTGTCCCGTGTCCGTGTCCGTGCATCATAGATCATAACAATACAAAAATAAAAATAAATATAAAATATTAAATATAAGAAATAAATAAATATATCCATTTAGATTAACATAATCATCTATGAAATTGTTTGGTAATAACATTTGATTGATTGCCCTATTTTCTGGTGTGAAATTAATTCCGGTTTGCATGATTTTTTTGTCTCTCTCCTCAAGCTTCGAAAAACTTCGCCGGACTCTGATGTGAACATCACGGTGAATCCACTGTAGATTGCGATCCACCTCACTTCACTTTCTCTCTCTGCAAAGGACGAGTAATCTCTCTCTCTCTCTCTATGTGTGTGTGTGTGTGTGTGTGTTCCTTCAAGGATTCAACGGCATATTATTTCATTTTGATCCTAGAATTTGATCTTGCCTTGTTGTATTTATAGTTTCTTGATTTAAACATTTATGCGTGACACGAGTGTTGTATTAAGATTTATGGCTGAAATGTTGAGCGGTTTGGATTTCATTTTGTTAACTATTAAATCAAATCGAAATTGATCAGGTTGCTCTCTTGGGTGTTACGGGTAATGGACTTCTCACATGCCTTTTTAATTTTTGGGACTGTGACTAATCTTCCTTTATACTTTTCCTTTTTGATTTTCCCTAGTCTCATGGAAACTTGGTGAGGGCTAGTCTTGGATCAGCAACAAGGCTAGTCCTTGTGATCGGAGAAACTGTCTCTTTCAAAAAAATTGTAAGGGTAAGGGTAAGGCATTGTACAATCGACCTTTGCCCCTACTTTCGGAAGTGAGGAGCTTATTAACCGGGATTTTCCCTTTTTTCATCGAAACGTTGGTCTTTGTTAAGCTCCGGACATTTTAGTTTTATGGGTCTAGGATCCTTTGGCTATTTCAATTCAAGCCTTCAAATACTAACATCTCTAATTTTAGCTTTGTCAGCAATCTTGTAGCCTAATAATATTTGCTTTAAGAAGATGGTGAAGTGGAATTGTTCTGTAATGGTATGTTTGTCAGATTTGTCGATTATGTTTTTAAATAAAATTTTAATTTTAATTTATATCTTTAAATATCTCTTAAGAAATTGGTTTATTGGTACTATTCATCAATTTATATAATTCCTGTAATCTGCATCCTTGAAAATGTATAGTTTACTGCTGTAATAAAATGTACAAGTATGTCCATGCTTGGAAGCAAATATTAATTCTTCAATTTTACGCATGTTGAAGCTGTTTCGTCAATGTTTTTGGTGTTTGATTGTGTTCTAAATCTTGGTAGATATACTAATAAGTTTTACTGCTAATGTATTAGATTTTTATTTTCAGCTTGGTAAGTATTTGTTTCACTGGCTGATGATGTTTGATGTTAAATAATTTGTAAAATTACTAAACACTGCAGGAATGGGAATCAGTAAAACCGAAGTAAACTTGAGGAGGTTGCTTGCATCTGCTACTCAGCAGCAAAACCAGGCAAAACTTGTTCATGTAAGTCTCAAGATAAGTCTTGACTATTTATTTTAGAGTTATCAGGGTTATATTAATCTCAGTTAGCTTATAATATTTTTAGTTTTCTTGAGATATATGTTTCATTATTTAGTCATTTGTTAACTCTGGAAAATAAAAGCTTAATCATTTGTTGACTTTGCAGTATGTTGCTACTTTGCGTGAACAATTGGAACAATTGGCTGAAGAGAGGACACCAGAAGGCTTACCAAGGTATGTGTGTCTCTCTATCTACAATCTCATATACATAGATATCAAGGAATTATAAGAGAGATTACAGAATTTCATTGTTTTTTTTTAAATCACAACGCAATCATCTGCTAATTTTAGAGTTTGCAAATCTTACCCTCAATTTTAATATACCTTAAGTAGCAGTGGCGGATCTTCATGGGGTTGGGGCGGGCATGGCCTCCCTGAAAGTTTTGAAAATTACATAGAATATAAATACTTAAAAAAGTTAGACATACTTTCCCTAAACATTATCAAAACATCATATGGCCAGTCCAATTTTTTCCTCAACATTCGCCACTGTTAAGTCGGGTAAGGTTATCTTTCTGAATGTTCTTCTTTTGGGTTTGAAAATATAAATATTAGAAATTAATACTTGCTGAAATTTTAGGGATTAGATGGATAGGAGATAAGAGAAATGATTTCACTAATAGGAATATAGGATTTTGAATAATTGTGATGTTGTATTATAAAATACTAATCTAATACTTCTATTTATACTAATATTCTATGTCAAGAACCAATATAGAGCAATTAGTATAAGCCCAGCCAAATTACATGCCTAACATAATAAGACTCATACCACAATAATAATCCTCATATTGAAACAATACTTAAAGGTTCAGCAGACCGTGGGTTAAAAGAATAGACTTATTTTTGTTTTACAGTGGGTTCTCTTCAAAATATGACTCAAAATTAACATAAGCTGTACTTTACCCCCTTAAGCTCTTTGATAAGATCTTGGGCTTGTAGAAATGACTATATTCCTTTGAAGTAAACAGACTTGATAATTTGTTTCTTCTTCTACTTTCCTCCATCATTGGTAATCTATGATCTTCTCTTTCCTTTATAACTCATTAGTTAAAACTGTTATATTCCTGCTACTTTTGTTGTGTTTCTCTACTGAATATGTTTGCATTCATTTGTTGTGTTTACTTGCTCTGGTCATGCAGGATTTCAAAGGCTATGTTGAATGATTATTCAGAGAAGATTGAAGCCATTGCTTCCAAATTGATTAACTCTGTGGTATGTATTTATCAACTATTGTATCTGAGGTATTGAAATGCAAAAAGATCCAAATGACTAAACATTTAAAGTTCCTTTTTCTGCACCAATCTAAAATAAAAGACAATTTCATTAACAAAAGGATGCAATTTGTGTTTAAAATTTGGGTAAATTACTAGATGCTTAAATTATACAGCCCTCCCCTCTATTTTGAAAAATTACACTCCCTTCACCTGAAAGGTTAATATGTGCAACACTTCAATCTATTTTAATGTGAATGAGCCTTTTAGGGGTAGTTTTTCCCTTTCTCTGTGACTCTCGGCTGCATTTGCAGTTAGTTTTGAATCCTAATTATCAACTTCGGGACTTTAGAAGATGAAATAATTTTTTTTGTGAAGTTCCAAATCTGATAGTAGGGTTTTTCAAAATTTGATTTCATCTCTAAAGTCCTATAGTCAATAGTAAGGTGTTCGAATTAGGTTCTTCTAACACTGAGAGTTGCCTAGAGAGGTAAAATGTCCACGAGAAGCTCGTTCATAGTTCTTCACCACCGCTAAAAAGTTCATTTACATTAAAATGGACTAAAGTGTAGTACATTTTATCTCTCACAAGGAGTGTAACTTTAAAAAACACAGTTGAGGGCAGTGTAATTTAAGCATCTCTCAGGAAAGGGGAGTATAATTTACCTTTGAGATTTCTAAAGGAACTGGTAAAATAGAAAATACTTTACTTGTTTATATCTGTTTCTTAAAGAACAACACATCAGTGCAGTTACCATGTGGGATAGAACTAAGATTGTTTGGCGGGCATTGGGCAAAGAAAGAGGGGAAAGGGAGATCTAAAATGGAAAAGAGTTATTTTTTTTATGGGAAACTGATGAGACCTTGGGATGCATCACCCCAAAAGCTAGCTCAAAGGGTGAGAGTGCCCAAAGCCTTACAAACAACCAATGTGGGACTCCAAGTCCCATACCTTGCAAATGGAACCCAACCGAAACCAAACAAAGAAGCCCCCATTTTCATCATTTAACAACTCAACTAATATTTAGTTCACAGCCTGACTGCTGCATCCCCTATTATAGCTTGCTCTGGGTAGATAATTGCTTTACAAGAAGTAGGAAGCAAATTCTATTGCCAGCATGTGCCCATAAGCCACCAAAGTTGCTTTAAGTCAAGGTTGACAGTATTTGTTTTATGTTAATTCAATATATGAAATTCAAATTACATACTTTATAATATTAAAAACATTGTACTAAATTTGATTTGCAAAGGTATGCTGGTGCCTGGTAGCATAAACTTAAGACTGAGGGTCTGCTTGGAGTTGGTTAAGTAGATGGATAGTTGTAAGGTGGAAATTTTATGATGAAAATCACTTTTCACTTGCTTGGTGTAACAAAAATATGAAGAGATGAAAATATAAATATACTCATTTTCACTTTGGAGCATAACTTTGTTTCAAAATCATTTGAAGTTTTTGACTCCATCCTCTTTTTGCCACCTACTCAACCAAACAAACCTTAAGGATTTATTACACAATGGAGAATATCATAATACATTTACTATATGTGAAAAGTGTATATAAAGTATAAATATTTCATGGATTGAATTTTTTGACTTTGTTGGAATGCATCATGACTCATGAGGCGGTAAATTTACTCATTTTCAGTTTTCCCTTTTCATATATTCTATTTTTTTATTTGGTAAACTCATGTATTCTATTTTAGTTTTGACCAAATAGGCAAACTTTATGCTTGTCATTTAACCACTTCATTTTTCTAATACAGCCTGACATACAAGTATCTGAATCTGAAAAGGACTTTGAAAGGAATTTTGTTAAAGAAAATCCTTCTGAAATCGAGGAAAAAAAGCAGATACCCCTTTCTTCTGGATTGAGAAGAAGGCCTATGTAAGCTATAGTTAGCCTTTCTTACTGCTATTTTTTTTTTTAGGCTGTTTTACTGTTACTCATCTGTTCCATTGGACAGACCTGCCTCAAGTACTGAAGATAGAGCACATGAGCCGGCTGAGACTGATCACTTATCACCTGTTAAACTGGATGCTGCAGCACATGCACACATTGAAAAGCACAGGTACTGTTTACTTGAGTTGTTATTTGAAGTTTATGTAATGGTGGGTCAGTACTACTGCAGGGAACAGGCCATAACCTACAAATCTTACGTTCCTATGTCAATTTGTTCAGAACAAAAAGTATATATTTATTCAGGGAAAGCACTCATCTTTTAAGTCAATCATTGGGATATACCATATGTTACTGACTTAATAATTTAATATGGTGGACTGGACTATTATGGTCTTATAATTCGGAGTTTATTTGGTCTTCATTGACTAGTCTTCAGGGTGTTTCTGGTTCACTATTTTTATGATACCAATATTCACACAACTATTAATTATGTTTGCAAATGTATTAGATCAATAATTGTTATTGTCAGTAATGTTTGCTTTCTCAATACTTTGAATTTATTGCATATCACTTGTTTTTCTTTGTTCTCTCAATTATTTGCTCTACAGAAAGCTTCAAGACGATTTGACTGATGAGATGGTGGTGTTGGCTAAACAACTCAAAGAAAGTAGTCTCGTGATGAATCAGTCTCTGCAAAATACTGAAAAGGTCTGATTTCATATTTTCATTCAGTCTTGCTTGTCTAACTGCTAAACGGTTGTATGAGATGGTAATGCTAAATGTATCTCGTTTTAGAATGTGTGTGAGGTAAGGTGAGTGTTAATACATTGTGATAGGGGTCTAGTTGTCAATTCAGATCTCATCCAGAGCAAAGTTTCTTACAATAAATTCCTCTGTTATCTCAAATGAAAGCTTTATTTTTTTTATTTTAATAAAAATAATCCACATGAAATATCCCCTCTATTGTGATCTTGATGGGAGTGAGTTATGATAAAGATGCACTGTTCCATATGCTCTTGGCCTTTCATCCCCCTGTTTAATAACGAGAAATGAGAGGTATATGCTTAAATCCGGATGTTTCATTAGGCTCTCGAAATTATGGCTATGATACTATGTTAAATAACAAGGAAACGAGAGGTGTATGCCGAAACCAACAAAAGTAAGGCAGTCCAATTATTCTTTAGGATTGATAATTCTTCCTACGGTTGTTATAGTATTACATTGATCTAGCGATTATCTTCTTGAAAGTTTCTCATATTACAAATTTATTTGCACAGTGAAGCCAATAGCTTTAGAGGTGCTGTCATATTACTTTTACATCTGCGGTGAATGCAATTGCTTGCACTCTTTCTTACTATCTTGCTTAGGCAGGTGGGATGGGAGCACTGAATGCATGTTGTAGTGGTGATTCATTAATCATAACATTATTTTTCTTGATCATTATCTCACATTTGCGACTTTGAGTGATGAGATGTTAACCTAATGAATTGACTGGCTTGCAGATACTTGATTCTACCGAGAAGGCCATTGAGCATAGCTTGGCAAGTACAGGTCGAGCTAATGTGCGAGCAACGGCTGTATACTCCGAGAGTTCCAAGACTTCTTGCTTAACCTGGCTCGTGATATTTGTGATGACATGTGTATTTATCATGGTTGTTCTTCTAATCCGTGTCACATAGAGTGTAGATCACATTTCACTAGGTATAAAAATGACCTCTATTTTAGCTTTTACCCATAATGTAAATTGTCCTTCTATTCAGATAGTTACATTTTATACATACCTTCACAATTAAAGAACTGTGATATTATACTGCGCATCGTATCACAGTATTTGGAACAATTAAAAGATAAATTTAGTTTAATTTAGAAATTGAATTCATTTAAATCCGACGAAATAAAGAATTTTATTAATAAACTAAATTAATTCCCAAATTTTTATGATTTTAAAAGCAGAACGTAAAACAAAGTAAAGAGAGACAGGAAAAGTTATGTAGCTTTCTAATCGATCCGGAGAATGTTAGTAATTTGTAGAGTTTATGCCTTTAGCCTTTTTCGACATTCACTAGTATAGAATTATTGTAGTTCCGTAAAATGGTTCAACCAATTCTTTTTACAGCTTTAAAAACGTGATATATAATTTTTTAACAACTTTCCCTTTCAAATTCTAAATTTTGATGGATTATTTTATAATGTAACACATACCTTGAGATTAATTAACTGCAAAATTTGCTATAGAAATGTGTTTCACTTCATAATAAAATCAGAGTCTTTTAAAAATTGTACATAAAATAAATCAGACACGTAAAATGAGATAAAAGTACATTAAGGCATACAGGTCTCAGATCCTTATATATAATATACTTAGCTGGCTGGCTCACTCACTTTATTATTGATTTGATAAAAATAAATCATGCTCAATATCGTATCACTTTATAATTTTTAGCTGATTGTTTGCTTTGTTTTATTTATGTTTTACTGACTTGTGTTGCTAGGATTGACAATAGATTGCTGATGGCAGATGAGTTGAATTTAGTTTATCTAGAAGAACGATGCATTAATAAAAGGGTTTTATTATTCTCCTTCAACATAAGATAGGTATCTTATGTTGTAGAGATAAAATGAGTGAGTCCCACCATTACAGGAAAAAAGAAAAAAAAGAAAAATGTGAGGTGCGGAAATCGAAGTGAGAGAGTAGGAGAGAAGTAATCTTATGCAAAAGGAGAGTAATATTTTCCTTACGGCAAATATGTTTTGACAAATTGGACCAACCTACGGCTACCGTAAGGTCTGACGTAATGCAACTCAAATACTTTTACATTTTTTCTTTTGCCAAATATTAATTCCATTCATTTTCTCTGAAACTTGCTGAATTGATCCGCATCATAATCAACTCATCAGTCAGCAGCATGTCATGACATGTCTCTTTTTACACACTTTTTGGATCACAACTTATATATAAAATAGTAGGCTTTTTAATTATTCCAATTCTTTTGGTGTTTCTGCATTTTTATCATTAGGTTTTCTATTTAAATTTAGGGGAAAAAGTTTCTGAGGTTACTTTAGACAACTTTGTCTAATGTTCATCGAAACGACGTCGTTTTGAGGTTGAAAAATTAAAAAATTAGAATGATAAAGACTATTATAACCCTAAAATAAATTAAAATTACAAAAACACTATGATTTCCGTCCCAAAACAACATCGTTTCGATGAACATTAGATAAAGTTATAACTTTAGAAAAAACAAAGCGTTAAATTTACTCAAAAATAATTAAACGGTAGCAACAATGCTGCTATAAAGCTTTTGAGATAATTGTTAGGGTTTAAGTTTTCTTATGTTGTAGGATTGTAGGAGATAAAAAAAGTAGAGAGAAATTAAATGTGGGTCCCATATTTTATATTAAAAAAGAAAAGAAAAATTAATTGGCACGAAAAACGAATTAGTGTAGGAAAATGATGTACTCTTATGTAGCATAAGAGTATTATTTCCCTAATTGTTAAGTTCTGGTATTCAATATTTGGGGGGCCCTTGTTGAGAATTGTAATCAAGAAGCTACCGATGTCATTGGCCGACATCAGAAAGTAAACAGACCAGATCTCCCAACCCAACAAAAAGATTTGCATTGCATTTACTAGGAGAATTCTTGGAAGCTTCCTTTGTCTCCACACACACATGTTTAGATATGCTTCTTTCTAAGTACAAGTGTACAATACAACCATTATTTTGAATTTTCTTATTGTGGCATGAGATAAGCACCCTTCAATGGACAAGTGACAAATCATTTTTTTTTTTTTGGGTACTCTTTTCACTGTCATAATAAAACAAAGTCAGATAGGCCTCTCAACCTTTCTCCGTTGCCTAAGGCAGAAGGAGCTGAAACAACTCAATGGGGAATTGTTGGAGTCATGCATCAGGTTCTCCAGGTGGTCCTCCCAACTCCAATACTGCCCCTGACCCCAACAATCAATCAGGTAAACCAACATGTTAACAACACTTCATGCTGAAATGTTGTGTCATCCATTTGAAATCAAATATTTTCTAGGAAGAAAAGACAACATGTTTTTTGGCCTTGGTGGTTTTCTAGTTTTCATGGGTGGGTTGTTGCTTTGTTTGCTATGCATAAGTGGATAACCAATTTATGGTTTTTTTTTTTTTTTTTTTTTTTTTTTGCCCCCTTTCTTCTTACTTCTTGATCTGCCTTGTATTATAGAGACAAGTAGTCATTGTTTTTGTGATTTCTACCATCTTCATGTTATGGAAGTTTCATTTTCATCAATTTTTAATATAATTCAACAAGTCAAGCAGAGAAGCAAGCAGAATTGTTTGCAGATGCAAGATCAAGTTTACAATTTTTAATATATTTGCTTCATTTGTTGCTTAACATGATAAAAGTGTGTGTTTCTGTTGCAACTTCTCAGGGAGCATTCAGTTTTCTACTGTTCTCAGCAATACGAGATTAATACAGAATGGCAATTCTACTTCTCTTGGTCACTCTGGAGGAATCACTCGGTTCTTTGGGCCAAGTAGTAGTAATAATAACTCAACGGGAAATAATACTAGTAAATCCCTTTGGGGCTCTGAGAATAGCCAATCCTCTCGAGTAAGAGATGAAGAGGAATTTCCTTATGGGCAGATCTTGGATTCTGCAAACTTGAGAGTATTTACTTTGGCAGAACTGAGGGCAGCCACCAAAAATTTCGGAGCTGACACTGTGTTAGGAGAGGGGGGGTTTGGTAGAGTATACAAGGGTTGGATTAAGGGAAGAGCAGCATCTAATAGAGGTGAAGGATTGACTATTGCCATCAAGAAATTGAATTCTGAAAGCAGGCAAGGAGTTGCGGAATGGCAGGTATATATTGACATAGTAGTACTTCAAAATTAGTATCACACACTTTTATTGGTTTGTGGCTTTTGTTTATATTGATGTTTTTTTTTTGGTGCAGTCAGAGGTGAGTTTCTTAGGAAGGCTTTCTCATCCCAACCTTGTAAAGTTATTGGGATTCGGGCGAGAGGAAAGTGAGCTATTCTTGGTGTATGAGTTTTTGCATCGGGGCAGCTTGGATAATCACCTATTTGGAAGTAAGGGTTGATCACTTTGTTGAGTCCTAGGATATCCAAAATAAAATATTCACATTGTTAAATATGTGCTACATGATTTTGCTTCTGCAGGAGGTGCAAGTGTTCGGCCACTTTCATGGGACACAAGGCTAAAGGTTATGATTGGAGCAGCTAGGGGACTAAATTTCCTTCATTCCTTGGAGAAGAAAATTATATATAGAGATTTTAAGCCCTCGAATATACTTCTTGACAAGGTAAGTTTCATTTTTTTTTCATTGAGGCATTGAATATCCCATGGTCACATTTTTCTCATCTTGAAAAAGTGAAAGACAAAAAATCGTTTCTAAACTTACAGCATGCTTGCTATTATATTAAAGAATTCATAGGAATACAAGAAAAAAAATAGTCAGTGTGATTTTTGGTTTTGCCACAGGCATATACAGCCAAGTTATCAGACTTTGGGTTGGCCAAATCTGTTCCTTCTGCTGATCAGTCTCACGTATCAACCCAGGTTGTGGGAACACATGGCTATGCTGCTCCTGAGTACATCGCCACAGGTAGTAATGTCAACAAATTTCCTCTTAAACCTGTTGTGAAAAGACAGACACTAAACCTTCTCATGTCAATCAAATAGGTCATTTGTACGTTAAAAGTGATGTGTATGGATTTGGGATTGTTTTGGTGGAGATGCTGACTGGCAAGAGGATAGGTGAAATAATGCGCTTGTGTCAGCAAAAGTCCTTGCTGGATTGGCTCAAATCGAATCTATTAAATAGAGGGAAAATGAGAAGCACAATGGATGCAAGGTTGGAAGGCAAGTATCCACAAAACTTGGCTTTACAAGTAGCTCAACTTACTCTCAAATGCATCCAAGTAGACCCCAAAGTGAGGCCATCAATGAAAGAAGTTGTTGAAACATTGGAACAGATTGAAGCAGCCAATGAGAAACCAGCTGATAACAGAAAGAGGGCCTCTAATTCCCGGTTAATTCGACAACATGGCCCTCCAGATGGTGGTTAATTGAACCCCATCAACACCATCCATTTTATAGCTAAAGGTGCCTGTCCTAGTGGCCTTGTGGGGTTGAGCTTTTATAATGTACATAAATATATGCCAAAAAGACCTGGGAACATATTTGGATTTGGGATGAGGCCTTGAAATAAATCTTTGGTGCTACTGTTGCATCAAAGATTAAGTGCATCCTATCAATGAAAATATTACATAGTAGTCAAAATTCTCTCTCCTCTGCCAATTTCTCTCTCTCTCTCCTCTGACATGTAATACTCGAGTTGGTGGGATTGTGCTACATATGCACCTAAGATTTATTGGAGGCCTTGAGGTTATCTGCCTAAGGGTGAGCCTGTGACACTTGGCTTTATGTGCACCCTAAAACTAGGCCCTCAGCTGGCATTCATAAGCAAGCAGGTCCCTTGTTAATTGTTAATGTAAGTTTCGTTCCATCTGGACTATAATGTATCAAAGTGTCTCACGGCTCGATTTTTCAACTACTCACCTTCCCATCTCGCTTTCTTTAGCTACCTTTATTGCCTATCTAGTTGATTTAGAAATTTCTATTAGCGACCAGTAATGTAATAATTAATGTGTCTCCAAATTATTCACCGAATTCATTTATTAGTCATGATATTTGTTTTATATACGTATATATAAGATCCGAAATTTTAGCATAATTTTGAAGTATTTTTTAATGATCTTTTTCCACTTTCAGAGGCAACAAGCATACAAGACTCTTCTGGTATTCAAGTGATCCATAGACTGAAGATTACAATAAAATCAAACATTTTATTTTCCCATACGTAAAAGCACAAATTTCAAAAGGACACGAGAGGTCAAATGGGTCTATCCGGTCTCAAAGGGGGAACACTTTTTTGGCCCACAAATATTTGTGCATGTTAAACACAGACAGCTCAATCCCAAATTAAAACTTTCAAAGAGAGCGGATTTTGGATAATCAATCATGAAGCTATGTTTTCATTTCGGGCCAAATCAGCCTGACAAAAATTGGATCATTGGACTGTATTTTCTATCCAGATGGGCCCAAATAGGGCACAATAAACACACCTTTAAGAGAGAGAAACATAGCTAAGAATTAAGATTGATCAGCATATGTATACATATAAATTTCGAGTTTCTGTGCAAATATTTAATAGATAAAAATCACTCCACGTTAAACTCGACTAGCGAGTGTAGGGTGGATGAAATCCTTCTAAGCAGATTTATCCTTGCATAGTTGATAACCCTTTTATCATTACTCCGGTTTGACCTTTTTAATAGATATCCTCCAATAATTGATAACCCTTTTGCAGGAAAAAAAGGAATGTAGGAGGTTTACACTACAATGTGCAAAGTGCCTGGACCCTCTTCTCTGCTCACCCAGTATCTCTATCGCTGTTTGGTTTGTAGGATTTTTTTTTATATCTATTTATCCTCCTTTTTCAATGTGCTCTATTCATTCATTCTAATAACTGAATGAGTCAGAGTTTACACAATACATTTACATTTTTAAGCAACTATCATTTTCCTTCAAAATTAACGACAAATAAAGTTAAGTTCCTTTTTTTTATTATTAAAAAGAAGAAGAAAATCTTTCAAGAGTGAATGTGTGATCAGTTCCTTCTGCAAACTTAAAACCACCACATTAACTAATATTACCTAACCAACTACTTGTCCACGGCAATATATACAGAGAGAGAGAGAGAGAGACACACACACACACTAACACACATCATTGGTGAGCTTTGCATTCCTTAAATATTCCAAGACATTGAAAATGTTATTATAAAGGGATGCCATTAATTTTCTGGTTTTCTGAACAAGCCAACTGGGAAATTAAATTAACTTCCTTTTGCGACCATGTTTTTTCTAATGATCAACGAAAGGCTAACTGGGAAATTAAAAACGGTTATAAAGGTTGTAAGGTAACTGGTAAGGTAGAGAGGATATATAGAGCAAACGACCAAAGCACAGCCTTTTGGAGTGATTAGTGTAGGTCCCGTTCACTTAATTCACCATATATAATGAAGTTTCTTAAATGGACAAAAATAGAGACCATGGATCTGTTACTCACTACCAGGACCCATCCACCGCTCCTTAAATGGCAAAACCTTCAACTTAATTGTACATATATTCTCAAATTTCATAACTAATTAAAGCTTCTATTATACACACATGATTCTAACACCTCTCCCTATATATTGCTCCAGATCCATCTACCGCACCCTTACAATTGAGACTTAAAGTACATACATTCATTCATGATATATTAAACAAATAATGGATCATGCACCATCTATAATTAACTACTTAATTAATTTCTACACTTGAAATATTCAAAATAGTAATGCTACGAACAAGAGAGAGAGAAAAAAAAAAAAAAAAAAAAACAATATCTATATCTATATCTATATCTATATCTGATGTAGCTAGCTAGAGCTTAATTAATTAAAATAGTATAATATATAGTTATATACCACTGCCTCTTGCTCAAGAATAGAATGTGTCTAGCAAAGTGCGGAAGGTTTGGAGCGAAGCACAAAGACAGAAGCCAGATCGTGAGGTACTTGAAAGAAGCCTTGAGGAGGTGGTGAAGTGAAATTGGTCCTCGTTGCTGCTACTCGTGGTTTCTTAGGAGGTGGTGGACAAACCAATGGGGTCTTCAATGTTTGAGCTTGTGATGTGGGTGTGTGGCACTCTTCTTGTTCCTCGTTTAATTCCTTTGTTGTCTCTAGATCCGATAGCTCTGGCCGTTGGTTGAAGGTTCTAACGGTTGGAACAGTTCGTATAGGCATGATTGGTCGAAATTCGTCTGAGATTTCGAGACCCATTCTCTTGCAAAAAATTTAGAGTGAATTAATTCACTTCGTTTCGTTCCACAGGGCTATGATAATAATAGTATAAATGGCTTTTTGTGTGTGTGGGAATAATATTTCCCACTAGAGGGAGGGAGAGGGAGAGGGAGAGAGAAGGAGATGGAAGGCGTGCAGAGAAAAAAATAGAGAGAGTAATGATGGGAGGTGCTGAAAGAGAGACAGATATATGAGAGAGAAGAGAGAAAGTGAAGGTGGGGTACAGATGGGAATGATAATGACCAACAATAATAGTAATGGTAAACAGGGAAACCGGTAAAGAAAAAATAATAATAATAATAAATCTTCTGTTTTATTCAAAAGTGGACTTGTCATTAATTTGCTGTTATTAAGATAAGAGCTATTCATTTAATTTCTCGTCAATAGATGATGATGGATTAAATTGAAATTAAAGTTATCTCCTATAACATCATGTTGGGACTGGGAAAAAATAGGATGTTATTAAGATTTTTGAATATATCTTGTATTTTTTTTTTTTAATCTTAAAATAACATCATTTTGGAATTATATAAGATAATTTTGTTTTCCATCTTTTACTAATATTTTATTTGTAAGGATGTTTGAATGAATATTACTTTTTATTAATAACTTAAATTATTCCTAAATTCTTTCAAAATCAAAATCAAGATGACCAATCTCATTGTACAAGATTTTTCGGCTTTGCGACGTGATCATGAGGTTCAATGGTATATGAATTAATTATCCTTATATATATATTTAAAAGAGCGTACTTCTTGATTTGAAATTTGAATATCTTTTGATCACAAAGCAACAACTTAACGCTCCAAAAATTCTTCCTCTAAGTTAATTTGTTAATTGTTTACAAGTAAATTGATACCACTATTTAATTTTAGATACTAAAGCAATATTATTTGGGGAGGTTATAACTACTATCTCTTTTTTTTAGTATCTCTTATTACTAAATCTTAATCGTTGATTTTTGTCAATCTAACGGTTGTAATTTATTGGGTCATATTTATTAATTAATTATTAATTTTCAATAAATTATAACCGTTAGATTGGCAAAAAATAACAGTTGAAATTTGGTAATAAGAGGTAGTAAGAAAAAAAGATAATAAGTATAACCTTTATTTTGAAAAAAATTTGATTAATATAAACAATTGTTTTAAGGTTAAAACCAAAGATTTAATATTTCTAACTTTTCTATATATATTTTTTTGTCACGTTCACATAAAAATAAATAAATAGATGATAATGAAACACAAACAATTTTTCCGTAAAAATAAATAAATGTAAATGGATGATAATGAAACAAACAATTTTCCCTAAAAACTGCTCTAAAGAGTTTCGATAAAGGACAAGAGTAAGGAATTTAAGAGTAAAAAGAGTAGTAGAAAGCTACAGTAATAGCAAAAGGAAAAGATGTTGTTGTACGTGCGTGAAAGTGAGTGTTACAAAGTTAAAAAGACATGCAGAAGAAGCACAGCCTACATCTGACACAAAGGCATATAATTAGGTACTGTTGATGCGGTCGCCCCCACAAACAACACTCTCGGCACTCCCTTCAAACCTCCTCCTCCTTTTCTTTGGCCTCACACTCACACCCTCATCTCATCCCATTTGGCATTTGCCTTTGCTTCGTTGTTCCTCCTTCATCCAATCACCTTCTTTTCTTCTTCTTTTTAATTTCAAAGACTACATGTTGTTGCCCTTCAATCTTCTTGGTTTTTGTCTGTTAATGTGCTTGCAATTTTTTGTTTGGGTTATTCTTTGCATAATATTGTGTTCAGTTTGCACTACATATAATATCGATTAATATTTAATCAATTAAGTGATTACCGTTTCTCTTTTTTTTTGGAAATATGATTACCGTTTCTCTAAATACAATCCCAAAATTACGTCACTTTAAAATTTTGAGAAAATAATACAGAACATTTAAGTAAAATATATGATATAAAAGGAAAGTAATTTTATACAGTAACCAATTCAATTATATTTCTTTAATATGCTTTTACCATTACTTAAAGACTTCATTCTCAAAATAACCTTTATTATGTTATGTGGTAGAATATTTAATGTAATGTAGTCTATGTAGCACCGATACGACACGCGACACGTGACATGACACGACACGACACTCCGACACGTCAATCCTAAAAAATTATGGATTTCGACACGTTGGGACACGTTTTAATATTAAATAATATTTTTAATTTATATAGTGTATATTTCATTTAATATTTAATAATTTAACAAAAAAATGAAACTAAATTAATAATACCCATCAACACGTTATAAAGATGAAAGCTTTAATAAAAAAAAATAAGAACTGGGATGAGAGAGGGATATAATATCAGATAGAGAGATCAAATCATATTAGAGAGAGATCAGAGAGAAGAAGATACAACAAGAGCGTGATAGGAATTGACAACAATGATGCTGAGATGATCTCTTATCTAGTTAAGGGGAAAAAAGACAAAAAAATAAAATTGATATGATCAGGTGGAAGCTTTATTAATATATTTTAACTTTTAAAAAAAATATAAATTTTTAAAAAAAAAAATTAAAAAAAAATTAAAAAAAATTACGAAAATGCCATTTGACCGTGTCGGACACGGTCAAATTCGCGTGTCGGAATGGTCAACGTGTCGGAAAAAGTCAACCGCGTGTCCGACACCGTGTCGGAGCGTGTCGCCGTGTCGGAGCATGTCGGACCCGACTCTTCCTGT